TTGCACTTGAAAACATTACGTGTACTAGAGTCATCTATTCTTTTCCCATCATTGTGAATGGAGGCTTTGATTCAGGACTAACCACACAGGAAACGGTGTAGGAGGAACAGTAACACGCCTGACTCAGATCGCAAGGAATCCGAAAGGATTTGTGTTTGAGATGCAGCTCTGTTGGGGTCATGCACTAGTAGGAATAGAAGAGGGTTGTTATAAAACACCTATTCTAGCTTCACAGAGTCGAGTTCAGAGCATGACTGCCAACTGACTCCTTGTCCTGGTGTTTCCTTTATAACCCGCAAGGCATCAGGTTTATGGAAAGCTAAGGAGATCATTTTTTATTCTCTCACGTTTCCCAACACTGACCGTGTGCCAACCTGCCAGAACAGGCAGGCGTTGAGTCAAACGGTGGTGGAAATAGTGCAGCTCATGCACTTGAGAGTGATCCCATCCTGCCAGTTCACATCTCAGGTACCGTGCCGTATGGCTCTGCAGGCAAACCTTGGCCCGGCAGGTGAGGAATTACATGGAACTCGCGATCCAGGAACCACCACTGCTTGCTCCTGTTTCCTCATATTCATAGCCCGGTGCCTGAGCTCTCTGATACACAGAGAAATGAACACAGAGGAATTTTGCTTCTCCCACTGTTCTGCTGTCCCCAGGGACTCGGTCTTCCCCTGTATGGAAAGGCAAGCTTCAAAGTCAAAACCGCAAGGGTCTAAGGAAGACATCAATACTCAAAACCTCATCCCACCTTTCAGCTCTCTTTATCTGCTGGTGTGACAGTGTGGACATGAAGGTGAGAAGGTAAATCCTTTCTCTTTCCATTGTTTTCTCTGCTGTCAAAAACACATTTCACCCTGGCCTTGCAGTGGGTTGCACTTGGGCCTCATTATAATTGAGTGTGGACTATTGACTGAGGTTGTAGACAGTAATCAGTGCTTTTCTGTCAATAGCTTTGTCACCACCATTTTCAAAATCACACATTTCTCCTCCCTATTATAAAACACTGTTAAGATTGTTCTTTGGAAGTTACAATTTTGAAAACACATACAAACAATGCTTTTAGCTTTAAAGGCAACTCTGATAATGAAGCAGTCCTGAAAATCATCCACTACATGGAATAATCTTAGAATTTCTAAGAAACAAACAAACAAACAAACAAGGCGTCAGAATAAGAATGCATAATACTGGCTACATTCCTGTGGCTTTTAAAATGTGTTTTTAAAGGCTTGAAGAAACACCAAAAAGTCACATCAGGTTAATAATTGTCGGTCTAAACTGGTATTTTTGTATAACTGAAAATGATTTAACATTTCGGCAGATTCCCAGGTGGTGTATACTGTCACAGCCGCAGTGCAGGACAAGGCAGCTCGAACAATTACATTAGCTGATTTTCTACTTGCCTCCACCAGCTGATGTCTTTCAGTCCCCAGCCTCTAAAGTGAGGTGAGGGGAATATAAATATCTCAGTCAGTTCTGCATATGCAGTCCCTTTTCCAGAATTAACACTGAAAAAAAACACACCACAACACACATTTGAATACATTAAAATAAATCCTTGCATTTTGTCCACCAGTTGTAACCAGTTCCATCATTTTTGCTCTGTGTTAAAGTTAGGATCTACTATGTACATGCAGTGTAATACTAAGAGATTCTTCGTGACTAGCCGCAATTTTAATGTTCAGAAGAAAAAAAAAATCTAAATGCTTTCACATAATGATGTTGTTTTGTATCATATTGTTTTCCTTTGTTTTCCATGTGTGGCGATAGCCAAAAAAGTGACATAAAATGGCACCTTAACTAGCCAAGCTGCTTCCTGTGTGTCTTTGAGTCATATTCTCCAACTTTACTGACAAAAACAAGTTTTTACAACTGTTAGCATGACAGAGTCACTACAGCTCAAAGCAAAAGTCGCAGCCTATTCTGGGTAATATATAATATACAAGCATTGTCATCGAAGTCCTACTTACAAAACCACTGTCACTATCACTATCACAAGAACCAGAAAAAACAATTTAATTGTTAGATCTCTTTATGAGCTTTCTGAATGTTTAGATAGGAAAAAAAAAAAAAATCACTTTTTTTATTTGTGAATATTTATGGGCAACAAAGAAATAGGAATCCCATGCAATCATTTTATTTATTTTTTTTTCTACGGCCAAATTTCTAAGAAAATTAATACACTTTGAAATGAACTCATCTTCCTAAACATGAGAGGCAGAATATAGCAACAATGAAATAAAAACTCAAGTAGCTGTTGTGTAATTTGTCATTTCCTGTGCAGGTTTTGCTACATGGGACAACCAACACTAATCAATGTGGCCATTTATCGGCCATAAAACAGCAAAATGAGCTGCTGCTATTTTTGTGGTCTCAAGCATTTTCTTCAAAACTTCATACTTCAAAATCACTTTGCCAGTCGGAAACATGACCCTGATAGAAACAAACATTCCTTCCCCCACAGCCTCTCTTCCCTCACCACCCCCTTCCACAGCCCCTTTTTATTTGGACAGCGAGCGAAAAAAGTGGGCTCTACCAAATGCAACGGCAGAACTCCTATTGCATCCACGGGTCTAGGACTTTCACCTAACTCTCCATAATTATACAGCATAAAATCTGATCTGTGTCCATGGAACGGCAACACAAGTAGATATAGCACCATACTTCAATGTCTCCTCGTTTATGTTTGTATGCACAAACAGCTCCAGTGATTTCAGCTCGCACTCTGAAAACTGCTCCCAGGCTTTGCTGCTTGCAGTTCAGCATTCCCAGCCTAGCTGCAGCTCCCAAAAACGCAGGATGAGAGCATTCATCTGGTTAACAAACAAAGTAAATCTCTGTCTATTTTTACCTTTTTCTGCCTCTGCCATAAGTCAATTACCATTTTTTTTTCATAAACAAATTCTAGAGAACACATTCTACTGGCAACCGAAAAGAAAGCGATGAAGAAGCAGCCCTGTGGCAAACACGGAGAGTCAGGAGATCTGGATACTTTTCCTGGCTTTGCTTCAGGCTTTGTGACTGACCTTGGCACACCAGATAGAGGCAACTCCCTCGCCGTTCCCAGCGCAAAGGGTCCTGCCTGCTGCGGAAGGAGAGCGGCTCCACCACGGATGTGTACAAGCCGAGCATGTACGCACGCAGACGTATAGATGTGCATGTATACAAACACAGATCGTTTGCACAAGAGGTGAGTATTCTTAAAATTACCCCAAATTCCTGTCACTGACACAGAGCAAGGAGTTAACTTAGCTTGGGAGCAAGTAAGGAAGATACGACCCCGTGTAAATCCTGAGTTTCTCCTTCTGCAGGTGAGCTGGTGTGGTTGTCTGGTCCTGGTGATAGAGTAAGAGGCATGCAACTTATTTATCAGGTAGTATTCAAGGGCTGTATTTCCTTGCTAGTGTCTCTAAAAGTGAGGAAAATATTACCTACATCGTAGGATGGATTTCAAGGCCAAGCTGGTAAATATTTATAAGAGGCATAAAGTTTGTCAGATAAACTATGCTTTAGAAAGACAAAATGTTATCGCTACACTGCCAGATCTCCAGAGACGCCAAGTTTCTACAAATCCCACCCAATCCAGCATTTTTTCTGCAGTTTTTTCTGCCTTTTCTCCAGAAAAAAAAAAATAAAAATGTTGTTTCTAAACCAGCTATACACTGAATACACACAAGTTACTTCCTTTTCTCACTTTTTTATTCATAATTGTACCTACTCATAACATGCTTTCTTCCTTGTAAACTTGGAAATGACTGTGCAGAGTAACTGCTGGGCAGATGAAGCACGTTTAGATAGCACAGGCTTCCACCCTCCTCCAGCCAACGAACCCGTAAGCCCGCGGCACGTCCCTGGAGCCTGTCTGCGCCAGGTTAGATCCCCTAACACCAACCGCAAGCCTTCCCCGCGCGTGAGCTCCCGTCTTTATCACACTTGTGCACACCCTCTTTGGGGCCAGTGGCGATCAACAACAAGGATAGGCTTTGGCAGTTGGAGGCTCGAGGACCAAATCTTGGCCGTGCTGTTTGCTCTGAGCACCGTGATAGAGCAGACGAGTTTCCAGAGGGAGAGCGGTCCTCATGGGCTCGCTCCTCATGGAGGTGTTGTGCTCCTTCGTGCCGCACACCTCTTCCTTGGGCACTGCCTCTCCTCCTGCCCTGCTCCTCGCAGGATCACAGCGTGGCTGAGGTTGGAAGGGACCTCTGGAGGTCACCAGGTCCAACACCCATGCCGAGCAGGATCACACTGCACAGGATGGCATCCAGGTGGGTGGTGAACATCTCCAGAGAAGGAGACTCACAGGAGAGAGACACAACCTCTGGGCACCCTGTGCCAGCGCTCTGTCAGCAATCAGGACAGAAGTGCCCCTCATGTGTCTGATGACCAGATGAGGGGCAATGGGCTGAAGTTGTGCCAGGGGAGGTTTAGGTTGGATATTAGGAAGAACTTCTGAAAGGGTTGTGAGGCAGTGGAATGGGCTGCCCAGGGAAGTGGTGGAGTCACCATCCCTGGAGGTCTTTAAAAGACGTTTAGATGTAGAGCTTGGTGATATGGTTTAGTGGAGGACTGGTTAGTGTTAGGTCAGAGGTTGGACTGGGTGATCTTGGAGGTCTCTTCCAACCTAGATGATTCTGTGATTCAGTGATACTGAGCCAGGACATCCTGCTTGTTCCCGCTGCCTCTCCTATGGCTGGACCCAACCGCAGCGAGGCAGATCCCATCCTTTTAACACCCCCCCTCAGGTGTTTTTACACATTTACGAGGTCTCCCCTCAGCGCTCCCCCCACCCCCCCACCCCAAGGGGCCGGGCCGGGATGGCGCCGGCTGCCCGGGGAGGGGCAGCCCCCATCCCCTCACAGCAGCACCGCCCCGCTCCCCGCCGCCTGAGGTGTGGCAGAGCCTGGACCGCCATGGCCCCCGCTCCGCCCCGCCGCCCTTAGCAACACGCCGCCGGCGCCGGCCTCCCCGTGGCGGCCGGGCTCGGGGCGGGCCCTTCCGGTTCATGTCGGAGCTGGGCTCGGCGCGGAGGAAGCCGGGCGGCCATCTTGGCTCGGCGGGGAGCAGGCAGGCAGAGGCGGGCAGGGAGGGAGGGAGGCAGGAGGGCGCCCACCGCCCTGCCGCGGGGCGCCGGCCTTCTCGGGGGCTTGCGGGCTGGGCCGGCATGCGAGCGGCGGCCGAGCGGTGAAGAGGGGCAACGGGGGAGACGGGACGGAGGAGGAGGAGGAGAAGGGGAGCCCCCCGGCTTGCTCGGGAGCCCCCCGAGAGCAGCCGCCGCCTCGCCTCGTTCTGCCCGTGCCGGCCCCATGAGGCGCCGCCGCTGAGCCCCGCGGAGCCCGGCCCGGCCGTCGGATGAGCCCGGGGCCGGCGGAGGAGGGGATCCCGGGGGGGATCTAGCTCGGCCGCCGCCACGCCGCCCCCCGGGGCTTCATGCTGGCTGCCCGCGACCCCCGGCTCCCAGAAGGAGAAGAAGGAGGAGAAGGAGAAGCCCGGCCCGGCCCCAGTGCGTGTGTGCGGCCCCGGCAGCGCTGCCGCCCGAGCCCAGGAAAATGTCCACTCGCACCCCGCTGCCCACGGTGAACGAGCGCGACACCGAGAACGTGAGTGCCCGGGGACACCCCCCCGGCCGGCCCCGCTTCACGAGGGGGAAAAGGGGGGAGCCGGGGGCAGCCCCATGGGGCTGGGGGACCCTCCCAGGGAGCCTCGCCTGCAGGGCTCGGTGTGGGGATGACGCCTCGTCACCTGCCCGGCTGGCGTTGGAAGGTGCCTTCTAGCGAAATCGGCTCCCTCATTAAGCATCCCACCCCCCACCCCCTTTTTTTTTTAATTCATTTTTCTAGACAAAGATAAGGTGTAGGAATCACCGTTTGTTTACCAGGCTAAGGCTGTATTAGCGATCGCACAGGTCGCATGCTAAAAAAGGGAGGTGGGGGGGGGGGATAGTTGTACCGCATGAGCAGACAGCCAAAAATGAGGCTCGGTGGGAGCCTCCCTTTCTGCACACAGAGCCGTGCGGCTCCTGTGCTGAAACTCCCTCGATCCAGCACACCCCATCCAACCATTTATCCTTTTATTGCTGGGGGAAAATGTAATTGCCTATGCAGAAGGGAGGTGTCAGTCCCCGTGGTCGAAAACGAGTCGATGGGTGAACTTGGTGTTTATCTTTCTACAAAGGCTGCCTGATGGTTTTTTTTACAAGTCAGATGCTTAACTGGACTGGGGGGGGGGATTTTTGTGAGGTCTCGGGTATGTTTTTGTTTGACATTAAAAGTGTGAACGTTGGTTAGAGATCAGGAAAAACTGTTGGATTGCTCAGACCATAAATAGTCCAAGGAAAGTGATGGTAGCCCCATTGTTTAAAACAAGACCAGACAAAGCGTTGGAAAACATGCTGCATGGAACAATTACTGCATTACGAGGGATTTGGATTTTATTGACATAATAGGCACCTCTAACTTCTGTGATCTTTATTTGTTTTAGCACTAGATTCAACCTGCAGGCTAAGGGCTGCATTGAACAAAAAGCCAGCTAAGCATATTTGGTTGTAAAATCTCAATGAGCTTCCTGCCTTGTGGAAGAAAATAATTAAAGTACTATGTGGCTCTTCCTATGCCATGGGGAGAGGTGATGCAGCATACTTCAGAAAATACTTTACAGAGTTTATTCAGATAATTATTTTAGTCTAGAAGCAAGCCTGGCTGAGGTTTTCAGGCTCCATGTAAATGCATGGAGGCCACCCAGTAAATCACTTTAAAAACTGTTCAGCTCGGGTTCTCCAGCGTAGTTAACTCTGACTCCAGTACAGGTAACGCAGTGGCAGGAAGGCTTAGCATGTGCTTGAGGAAATACGCGGCTCACGAGCTGTGTGTTCTCCCACTTGAAGTTAGGTTTTACATATCCTCCACTTAAGGCACCTTGTTCGCACTTCAGAATATTGGTCTAGCACTTCTCTTCGGTAATCTCCATAATTTAACATGCAGGGATTTTCTTGCTTGCAGATGGATAGCCTTAGGTTTTGATTAAGGCGTATCTTTCAACTGCAGTAATTTGGGCTGGTGGCCACAGGAATACCTGTAGGTATTGGTATTGACAGAGAGTGATTAATCTGAGTAATTGCCAGATCTGTTGAATCAATGCCACGGTACAGTGCTGTATCCCTCAGAAAGCAGGCTCTCATGTTTTGACCATCAGGCTCACATGTTTTGACAAATTCATCAAAATGTATCCTGTCCTGCCTTATTTACATTGAAATCCACCTTCAGTCTGCCTGGATTGCTGGTACAGCTGGAAATGGATACAAAATTACCCCGGGTCTGTTTTTTCTTTTTAAATACAAAATGTAACACTCTTGATGCTTCCAGTAATTGTTCTTCCACCCCAAAGCTTGATGTGCTCTTTTGGCAGGTAAATTGAGCCCTTGATATTCTCTCACTTGAGAAGTCGGTTAATGCTCCTAGGGCTCTTTGAAGCTCAGGTGGGAAGAGGCTTAAGAAGTGCCAAAGCATTCAGCCAGCCTTTGGGCTGTGGTCAGGGAGCCCCTGAACGCCTTCTCGCTGTTGGGAAGGTTACAGCTGCTGACGAAGCCTTGGCTGGTGTTGAATCTGATTCAAGTGTACTGATCATAGTTTATCCATGCCTATACTTGCAGTTCTGAAAATGAAGTTAGCCTCCAGAATGATGGTGAACATAAATTATCGTTGCCTATGCTTGCACTTAACCACGTTCAGCAGTTGGCAGTTCCTGTGAAGTAGTCATGGTCTAATTGTCAGTACTTTTATTTATTTTTTTTTCTTTTAAAGCAGTGTATGCCACTTCTTATCAAGACGCTTCATGCATACGCTGCTGAAGTGGAAATACTGTCACAGTGACTTTCCCCCAAAGCCACTAGCAGCTATCAAGCCATTAGTGCCTTTGAGATTAAAGAATTTGGCTACGAGTCACCTGGTTTTGAGAGGAAAGGCATCCCAGATGATCTGTGATCATCGGAACTTCACACTTGGACAGTTGGAAGCTGGCTGTTTGCCTGCAAACGAGCTGGCTCCTCACCACAAAGGTGGAACAACTCCTTGCTGGTGTTGTCGCTCACAACAGTGGCTGTTTAGGGGACAGCCGCGAAGGAGAGGGTCAGATCTTCTCTGTCATCTGCAGAGTGACATCGGGCGTGTAGGAGAAGCAACAGAAGCAGCGGAGACCTCCTTTGTCCAAAACCAGGAGTGAAGGTAGATACAGAAGAAGGACCTTTAGGTGACAGAAGAGTGAGTAAACCTGTTTCACTAATGATGAGGAAAAGAGGAGATGGATGGAAGAGGAAGGAGTGTGGAAACACAATGGAAATGAAGATAGATGGTGGAGAACAAAAGATAATAGGAGGCATGGAGGAACACACACGGCAGGATGGAGGACAACCAGTGACAAAGAAATAGGAGCAGAAGGAACGAGGTTTGGGACTGTAGGACAAGTATTCATTAAAGAAAAAATCCAGGAGTGGCAAGGCGATAGAGAACTGTAGGTAGAAGGTAGGAAAGACAAGTGATATGGAGGTTGGTTTGGTTTTTTATTTTTTAACAGCATGAAATAAAAAAGAAAAAATGTAGGCTAAAGAGTTTAATTTTAATTTGTGTTCATTGCACAGCTGTTTTTCTGGGGGGAAAAGGTAACTGCTTTGAATGTTAGTTCTAGACCAATCTGAATTGAAAATGCAAGTAATTTGAGTAAAAGCGAGACTGAAATACACTCTTATCTCCGTGACTGTGCCTAATGTGAAAAATTTGCTATTGAAGGATGCCAGTGTGATGGCAACTGTGCTTGTACAAGCCTATACAAAAGGATTCTGTGCACTGAAAGTATCTCATTTATTTTTTTTATTTAAAAAAAATAGTAAAGATTAGATTCAAAAATTTACTTTTAAGATACTGCGAAGGTTAGCATTACCTCCTGATTTATTACCAATTAGATATGAAATGCATTAGAGCATTTGCAAACAGTACACAAGCTTGCATTATTCTATATATTATTTATCAGACTTCTCCTGTTACAAATAGATCTGTAATCAGAATGTTTTCTTCCGTAAGTGATTTTTTTTTTGTAAGGGGGGTGAGGAAGTGTGCCTGTGGCCAAGAGTTGTGGTAGACTTTGTTCTACAGAGCCAGCTACCTTGTCTCTTATTTTTTACCAGTTATAAAAGTTCTGTTTTGAATTAAATTAAGTGAAGGTGGCAAAATAACTAGGAATAAAATATGTTCTAGGAATTAATCTGGGATGTGTTTTTTTCCCTATTTTTATTATTTATATTTTATTTTTATTGTTTTCAGAGAGCAGGAAATGGTTTTGGTGGCTTTCTTAGTGCCTGCGATACCTGATAGGCTCAGTGCTGCAGTGGTTGTACTCAAAAAAAATACCTGATCAGGTGGTGTGATACTGCACTTCACTGACTGCTAGTGTTTTCACGTCTTGAAGGGGGATGGTTTGTTCTTCAGCTCTGCTAAACAATCTGTGCTCTATCGTTTAATCATTCAGTTTCACTGTCAGCTTGACCAGGGTAAGGCTGCTGCAGGAATCAGCCTTGGCTGCCTCTTCCCACCTGTGGTTTGTGTTGGCAGTAATTATCATGTAGCTGTACAACAGGTCTGGTCAGCTCCATGATCTGCCTAAAACTAATCCTCCAAAAAAAAAAAAGTGGTTTTATCCCCATTCTGTGTGGCTGCAAATGCTGACACAAAGGAGAAGATGGGATTTACCAGTTCAGGTGGGAAAGGCTGGAAACACTTATTTGGGTTTTGTTTGCTTTAAGCCAGTTGTAGTACAGCACCTAAAGGCTAAGATAACTTAGAGTAGGGGGTTTAAAAAGAGTTGACTGAGTGGTGCACCTTTCTCAAATTGCCTTTCTGGGAACTAACTTATTTTTTTTTTTAAATGTTATTTCAGTAGCTAAGAAAACTAAGCTATGGAACCTTACCCCAGAAGGAGCTCAGACTTTGTGTTCCTATGTTTTATCAAATGTAACTCACACGGTGACCTTAGAAGCACAACAGAACACAACTACAGAAATTACTGAACGAAAATAAACAAGAGGAAATATGGTTTTCAGTACACTAAACTTGGTAGACTTCTTTCTAGGCTTTCTTACCAAATCACTTAATATCCTCACCTGCCCAATTCTCTGTTTTAATTCTAGCTGAGAAACGCTCCTGTTGATGTAAGCAGACAGCTCCCATTAACTGCACATCTCAGGTGACTTCAGCCTAAGGAATTTTAAGAGCAGAGGCATTTGTCTTTCTAGATCTCCATTTCATCTGATACAGAAGTAGCATGTGTCTGCAACTTCCTCTTCTCAGTCAAGTAATGCTGCCTTGTGGATGTCAGCCAGATCAAAAACGGAGGTCACCTCTTTTTTTTTTTTTGGCTTGTGGCCTGTCCAGGTCGGCTCCCCTTAATGCGGAGATCACCTGCCCCTAAAAATATTCAGAGTGGGCATGGCACGTAGGTGCCTACTGCTGATAAAAGGTAGACCTGTGATAACTCTGCAGTGAGCCTCCCAGATTCAACCCTCAGGTATGTAAGTTCTTGGCCCGTACAGCAGCAGCTTGTTGAGCTCTCTGTGTGTGTGTATACATATAAACAAAAATTAACTTTCAAATAAAATTTGTTCCTGCAGGGATAAAGCCTAAACAAAGTTTTCTATCTGCGAGCTCAATGTGGTCTTTGAAAACCAACCGTGAGGTTTTTTTTTTGTTTAGCATGTAATTACTGACAATGATGATTCTGGAAACAACTTAGTTGGCAGTATTGTTGATGAAGGATAGAGTATGGTTGGCTCTTCAGCTATTATTCCCCCGGCTGATGTCAATAAATATCCGTTTTAATCAGCAGTAAAGAAACTTTGGCTTGAAAGATATGGTAAATGTCAGATCTTGATAATGTGAAGCAACAAAAGAGCTTTTAGAAAGCTTTTCAAACCAGCCCCAGACTTATCTTTTTGACTGTATAAGCAGGATTTCTTCACTGTTGTGTGGTTCAGCACTAATCACAGAATTGCAAATTCCCTCTTTCATACGCTGCATAGAGTATGAACCCAACAATATCGAATGCATCAACGCAGCGTGTGGCAGGGAGAGCTGCAAAGGACTCTGTGCATCTGCGACGGGAGCGTCTTGCCTTTTCCACCAGCCCTGTCCCTGCGTGCTCTGTAGGGTCAGCTCTGTCTCAGCCCTTCACGCAGGTTTGGGGACCATACAAGTTGAATGTGAGCCTCTTGTTCATGGCATTCCCTTTCTAAAGCAGCAGTCCCTGCTGCCAGCCTCCATCAGGCTGCCCCGTGCAGGGAGGTGGGTTGCTGTGCTCAGCTGGGTTTGTAGCTGCCTGGTCCTGACACATTTCTCCCTTTTTTTCCCTCTTTCTTTCCTTTCTCCCTTCCCCCCACGCAGGGAATTGGGCATGTGTGCCAAGAGGTATGGTCTGTGCGTGCTAAAGATGGTATTTACTCTCCAGGTTCTCCCTTTAAGCTGCTTGTTTGACAAATATGACCCAATTAAAGCGGCCGCTCGTTTTCATGAAGTGTCATACCAGTTAAATAAACGAGTACAACGGGCTGAGAACTGGGCAGTGAATCCTTCCCCTTCTGACAATGGAAGCATCCAAATTAGCGTTTTCTCCCCTTTACCAGCTCTAATGCATTCACAGAAGGTCTGTTTATCTCTCTTGCTGAGTTCTGACCCTCTCAATTGTTCCACTTGATCCCGGCAACCGTAATGGTTATCACTTCAGTGAATAAATCTGCCTTTGTGGACTGGTAACTGGAGTGCCACCTCGGGTAGTATTTTCCTTTGTAAGACAGCATTTAAAATTTCATGAGATGGAAGCCATGACTGTGCCTCCTTAAGATTGATTATGTAGCCAGCCAGTTTGAAAGCTGTCTTTTAATGATATGTGCTGGAACCAAAGAATTGGTTACACAAACATAAGCAGACAAAATCCACCTCCCCTGGTGTCCTGTCTTATGCTCTGGGCTAGGGCAGGAGGGAAGTAAAAACCAGGATAAGCACAAAATATCCTTGCCTGGTATCTTTCTACTACATTATTTTCCTGTATTTCCTATCTTTTATAATAATTTAAAATAAATCATGATTTAAGGATTCCCTAAGCAGTGATTTGTATTTAGACAATTGTGGCAAAACGTCTGCTGTGAACCCTCTCAGTGGTTACTAGAAATTCAAGTCTTTGTTTTGACTTTCCAGTAGAATTCCTTCGTAAGCAGTTGCAGGATGCCTTACTGTGCTTTTTCATGGCTATATCTGCACAATAAGACACTCCCTCTGAATATTTTTAGGGCTAACCTCTTTTCTCTTACACGGAGTAGTACTCAGCAGTCTGTGTGTTCTTAAATATTTTAGTGATGAATGCAAAGTAAAATACTGTCCATTATTAGGATGGGCTGCGGTGAAATTAGTCTTCAAATATTTAATTTAAAATATATTGGTGTTTTAAAAACCTGTGATTTATGTCCTGATTTGTTGTACTATAAATGAGTGCTATGAAAGGTGTGGGGGGTGAGAAATTCCCATGTATTTATATGTTGTGCCCAGTTCAGGTAATGAAGAGATTTTTCTCAGTGTTTCAAATGTTCACCATGTCCTGGAGTGTTTAGATTGTTCACACTGGAAGGGACAGGCTTTAAAAATATATTTTTTTTTTCTTAATGTAAGTAAAAATGCTGAATCTGATGAGCCTGTCATAGTTCTTGCTAGTCTGACAGCTCTCCAGGAAATGCTGTGATATAATTTCATAGCATTTCATACAAATGTGGTAACAGCTAAGGTAATGAACGTTCCTACAGATTTTTGTAAGATTAATTTTTCATAGTTCAATGGGTTGATCAGAAGGTAATTTTCCCTATTGTGTACTGCTTTAAAAATATTGATGCTGCTTGTCTTCCCTGGTTTAGAAAGAACGCTTCCTATTTACTATCAATAAACATGGATTTCTGCATGTCTCGGCCATTCTAATTTCTTAATGTTTTTCAGCTCTTCACATGGATATCAGAGGGTCTCTTCCAGGTGTTTTCTCAGCTGTTGGCACCACCTTAAATATTAGAAGAACTTTGACACTAGTCATCCCCTGTCCTGTGTTTCTAACGCTCTGGATGTTAAGAAACCTCTAAACATGCAGTTACTGGATAAAGCTAACACCTGCCCAAGAGATCTCGGTTACCAGCACCTTCATACCTCATTTGCTTTTTACTTTCTTTTCTTTTCTTTTTCTTTCTCTTCATGCTAATCATTATCTGGCTATGAAAGGATGTCGGCTCATCATTGGGGGAAGGCTTTTGCGACAAGGTGGGTTTTGTGTTGTGTTCCAAATATAGTTGGTCTTGGGCTCAGCCCCTCCCTCGCAGCAAGGTCTCTCACGAGCGGAGATGTTTTACTTCATTTCCGAGTCCTTCGGGGTTGAGTAATACCAGGGTGGGGTTGGGGTGGGGGGGCTGGGGAAGAATGCATGTTTCTGAGAGAGGTTATTTCATTGGCTTGAAGTTTTCTAGTTGTTTTTTTAGAGGACCCTCCTACTATGTGCAAAAAAAAAAAGTCTTTGAAGTCTTTAAAAGATTTTAAAATTGAACTTGATGCATACCAGGATGCTGAAGAACATGCTGTCTTGCTGTGAATGGAATTCAGAAGACTTTTCTTAATAAAAAAAAAAAAAAGGAAAAAAGGCACTGGCTAGCCCAGGGCCACACAATGTACGCAGTCTCCTTGCTTCAGTTCCCATCTGCAGCATAGCAGTCTCCCCTGCATTGACTATTGCGTGAAGAGAGGTATTTTGGGAATCCCCCAGGCATGGTGTCACAAGTGTTATGCTTACAATGAATGCACATCCAAAGAGATGCTGCTCATCTACCACAACGCATAGAAATGTATTAAACAAAAAAAAAAAAAAAGCTTGTTTTAAACATTAGGCTTTTAATGTAAAACCCGTTCCTTGTTGAAGGCTTTAGCCCTACAAATGTGGACCAGGGAAAAAAGTACGAGGCTGAGCAGAATCTAGGCATTGGTGGGTTGAGGGAGGCACTGAGGGTCTGCTTAGGAAAAGACAAATGGCCCGCATCTCGATGAAGAGGGCAGAGGATGCTCTTGCTATTTCTTTAGGGCGAGGTAGGAACTGTTAATCTGTGGTGGCAGTTTTGCTGCCTCAAAGTAGCTGCTGAGGAAGCTACCCTGGGAAGTAGCCAAGTACAGCCAAATGCTGTACAAGCCAGTGCCTGACTTGAACGTTTCCTGGACCATCTATATTTGTACTTTTTGCCTACACCATTTAAGTTTTCTTCCCATCTACCTGCCATGGCTTCTCAAAAATGATTTGGGTGGGAGCAGCACTTTTTGCTGGGTTTTGAGTTTATGCCTTTTAGTACCGTATGCTACCAAGCCCTCTTCTTCCTTCATTTTCATAAGTTAAAAATAAATAAATAAAAATCCATGTTGAAACTTGGAGGTTGTTTTCTGCAGTTTTTAGGAAGTTTGTCTGCTGTTCAACGTAATGATTCCGTATTTGACAGAGGAAGGACTTGCTGATGGATTTACTTAACGTGAAGTGAAATAAAAGTCCAAATTAGAAATTCCTGTAAATGGACAGATTTCTACAGAGCTGAACGCAGCTATGAGCAAGTCAGTTGGAGAGAACTGAACTGCTTAGGAACACACAGCTTGATATTCAAGAAACACAGCTGAAAAAGGTCATATTCTTGAAAAGAAATAATCAGAGTTGGGGTGGAAATGCAAACCTCCATACAAGGAGATTGTGTTAAATTTATCAACACTAGTCCAAATAAGCTCACAGCTGTTAATTCTTCCCTTTAAGTGCAAAGCTAGAAAGCATGAAGAAAATGATAGGACACAAGAATTCATTCCTCTACAGAGGACAGTGAAGCTCCCAAGATGTGTTCATTGGCGTGTTTTGCTACGTACAGCAGAGTATGTTAGTATGGGAATATGTTAATGTAGGAAAATTCTGTGATTCTGGGATGTCTTTTACCACGTGTGTTGTTTATGCAGGGTAGAACGTGAATAAGATCAGGTCTGAACAGTCTCTGCACATTCCTTGGTTGGGAATACGTCGTACCCACTGCCCATGTCTGAACTGCACCACGAGGTAGCTCAGGTCTGACGGTTGTTAGTTCAAGCACAAGGCAGCAGATAATGTTTTCTGGTTTCTGTGTGGTTTAAAAGCTGCCTTCTCGTTGAGTCCACGTGCTGGGGAGCTTAAGCTAGGAAGCAGTAAGCCCTGCATGGAGGAAGGCTGGCTCTTGCTAAAGTGTGTGTGCCTGTACTGCGTGCCCAGGTATGGAAGGGCTCTAACCTGAGCAGTTCTGCTGTACAGGACATCACACGACATGATTGCTGGGGGTAGCAATGGAAGAAGACATTCACATCTAGCATCAGCAGGTGCTGCTTTTTTTTCTAGCTGGTCTGAATAATGTGACGCGTGAAGGTACCAAAGGAGCTGGCAGAGAAGTTGTCTGCATTGTCTGTTGCAAGGTTTGGTAGAAGTCACAGTTTGGGGAAGCACAGAGGGTTGGCACTGATTTACCACCGCATGTAGGGATGAAGAGGATGGGCTGAGCGACTAGCACCAGCCTGGCATTAATGGCATGCAGAACAGTGACGTTGTTGGTACAGGATTTCACTGGCTTCAGTAGTGCCTTCAGCTGGGCAGTTGGTCTTGTCGATCCTCTCCTTGAGAATGCTCGCTTGGTAGGCACTTACCCAGTTGTTGTAGGTCTCGAGATAGTGTTGAAACCAAGGAACTGTTACCAAGCGCTTGCATTTCTCCTGGATCTTGTTATGGATGCGCTTTTTGTTTCTGTGCCTTTTATCAGTGGTTTGGAAGAATTGTGTACTGCTGCTCGAAAAACTAGGATAGAGATTGCTAGAATATTAAATAGGGCAGCATGGCAGATCACAGGAGCACATCATCAGCTCTGCGTGTCAGGAAGCTCTGTATTTCCCTACAGCCCAATGTACCAGCATTCCTGGTTTCTCACGTGTATGAAAATTGTGCTAAGGGACGGGGAAGCAATAACTCTTTTTAAGAGTCGGGGTTAGTTTGGGGTGATCAGATACAGATGCCCTTCAGCAGAGCATTGAACAGAAGATGTAATCTGTGCTTAATCCTCTTGCGACTGCTGTCGGCATGGCTGTCCAAGTTCTGGCACAAAACCTACAGAAAGATGTTGGAAAAATTGGAGATGGTACTTAAAAAAAATATACAAGAAGTGTTTCCTAGTCGTTAATTATTCTTACAGCAGTCTGTTTAGGGAGTTCAGTGTGTATATATATATGCATATATATATATCTTATTAAAGTGAAGGGGTCTTGTGACCAGAGTAATTAAGTGCTATATTAGAAGTAGAAATCTGGTAACAATGTAATAATGAGGCCATAAAGACAAGCTAAAGCCAGATTGATACTAAAACATTATACGCACCACAGTTTTTGTTCTGTTTTTTAATAGTAACGATTGAAACAATTTTCCAGGAGTTGCCGTAGCCTTCCTATCCGTAGTATTTCTTAAATGAAATGAATGTCTTTTTAAAAATAATTTGATCACAGCTGTTGCACTCAAATTAACAAACCAAGGAACTTAAGATGCCAGAGTGTATGGTCACAAGGTTACATCAGGTTATTAAATATTGTGAACTTGCCAAGTGTCATGCAAGCGTGTATTTTTTTCACTTGTGTCTGTACCATGGTTGTTGGCTCCTCAGTTCTGATCTGTCATCCCTTTGTAGTGATTTGTCAGACTGGGTGCTGCTGTGTGCCATGGTGCTGGCTGTTGGGTTTCAGCAAGAGCAGTAGTTGGAGAGCTGCAACTGGCACAAAAAAGAGTTGGAAGGATAGGTAACTGGATGGGGCCCTTTGGGGCTGAAATAAGCACCACGGGAAGCATTAGAAAGAACAGAAGGGAGTGCGGGACACATGGAGGTAACATTGTGCTGCTGAGTATGATACAGGCCTCATGGACAAGGAGAGAGCTATTGCAGTGTTGGGGAAAAAAAGGGAAAGGCTACGGTACAATGCAGAAAGTGTACGTAGTCATATAGAAAATGTAGGGTTTGTTTAAGAAACAGGACAGTGTGCTTAGACAACTCGAGAGGAAAAATCACCTCTAAATGCTGCTATTGAACATTCTTGTCTTGTAGGCTAATGTATCTGCTCTATTTTTTCTTGAATTCCCGTAGTAGAAAAGACATGGAACAAAACATACTTGGTTCTGCCAGTGGATAACAAGACAGCTATCTCCAATACAAGCTCAATATAATCTCACCCTGGGTTATGTGGTTAAAGGCCCTCTTCTCTAAAGGCGATGCTTTACAGAAAAGTTGAAGCCACCTATAATATATTGCAATTAAATAGGTCACTGGGCACATTGATTGGTATTCTTGTTGCATATTGATGTAACAGATACCTAATAATGATGTTTTTCCAAATAAGGGGGTATTTGATACTAAGGCACTGAAACAAATAGCATCTTAACTAGCCCTCTAAATGCTTAGGACTATTTTGAAGGAACCTTGAAGTTTTGTCTTCTAAACTGAGCTGTGTTCTTGGGTAGAGTTCAGACAGAAAATAGGGCTGCTTTGGCATTTGGGTTGTAGCAAAGGTTTAACTGAGGCTAATGCTTTAACTTCTTGATGAATGCTGTTGCTTCAGAGAACTGTATAATCAACGAAAAGAACGAGCAGAGAGAGATGGAAAACTTAACATTTCAAGAGGGAAGAATTAAACAGCAATATCTTCTGCTTTTTGTCCTGAACCTCCTCTGGGTGTCTTCAGGCAGGCAGCACGATGCGGGAATTCTGGGATGGCAGTAAATTTAGCATGTCATCCCTGTGTAGCGAACACTTGCTCCACATTTGCAGGCTACTGAGCATTTCTGAGTAGTGCTTTAATTAGTGAACGTGGTGCGGAGACCTCAAGCACGAGCTGAGAGCTAAGGGACACGAGGGGCACCTGCTCTTTTGGAAACAGGCTCCCACCCAGGCAACGAAAAGGGACTTTGCTGTTACCCCAGCCATGTGATCTGACAAATAAATAAAGAATATTATGGGTATCTACCCAATCTTTTTACAATTAATAGCTGTTCAGAGAAGCTAAGTGGAAGGAACTTGCCAGTTTCCAGGCAGCATCTCAGGTCTCCCTAACTGATGCTCAGCCTGTTAATATCCGAGGTTCCTTTAGGCTGGATGAGATTTCTTCCCTTGTTCTCAGGCTGTCTTGAGTATTTTCAGTCATTAAGTTTTGTAGGAAAGAGAATCCCAGCAGAAGAGAGAAAAAACACCTCTCAGAGAGGAATTTTATTTTATCAGCAGTACTGAAGTGTCCAATAAGGATGAACCTTCTGCTGTCTGCTTGTGGCAAAGCTTTGTTTGTGTCTCCTTGCACAAAGCTTTCCTACTCTAGTTGGGCAAGGTAACTCAAACAAGAGATAACATCAAACACCTCGGTGTTCCCTGACTCTGATTCTGCACTCCGTGTATGCTAAAAATGCTTCCCTGTTCCTGCAGCTCAGCCGAAGTTGCACTTGCTCTTTCCCAGGTTGTGGAATAAATAGCATTAAGAAGTGAGAGCCTCCCTGTCCACCTTACAGCAAAGTTCAGTGAGAAGCTGAAGTTTGAGCTGGATCCTTTGAAGGGTTTTTCAAAGGAGTTGTTAAGCTATTTGCATGCTGTATGTTGCTCATTGTTGATGTCTTTTTCTTTATTCCTCGGCCTTATCTGTGTATGTTTGTATTGCAGCACACGTCCCACGGAGATGGACGGCAGGAAGTTTCCTCTCGAACTGGGCGGTCCGGAGCTCGTTGCAGGAATTCTATAGCTTCCTGCGCCGATGAGCAGCCGCACATTGGAAATTACAGACTCCTCAAAACGATTGGAAAGGGGAATTTTGCAAAAGTAAAGCTGGCAAGGCACATCCTTACAGGCAGAGAGGTAAAGTGGCGTGAGTGTAAACAACCGTGAATTGCAGTGGGTTTGCATATTCTCTCAGAATGGTCCCGTCCAAGTCTGTGAACATTTAGCACTTCTTACTGGACCTACTGTCACTGATTCAGGAAAAAAAAATCTAAAAAGAAAATGCAGTTTTCCATTTCTGATGACCCCAAAACAGCTCCTCTGGAAAATGGTCTCAGATTTGTGTTTTTGACAAGTCCCTGCACTTCTGAATTGTGTTCAAGTTTGCTACTAGAATTCTCTGCTAAATTCTCTATTCCTGAAAAAGGGCTAAATATATTAAATAAGCTAAGTATATTAAATAAGCAATATAATAAACTAAATATATTAAATAAGCAATTAAATAAGCTTGCTGGAAAGATTGCTTCTTGGTGTTGATACACTGCAGGGCTGTATTAGAGGTGAAATTAGGAATGGCAATTAATACACCTTCTTGATTATTCTTATCTAAGCAGCCTACCCACAGTATTTCCTGGACAGAGCCACACACCTCCCAGTTCTGCTGGTGTCTGCAGTGCTGGGCTGCCTTGGGAAGACATTCCAGTTTGTTTGGGGCTGGTTTGTGGGTCTGCTGCTCAGTTGTGTGGTAAAGACAAGCTTTCTCTTGCATCTCTTCATAGTGTCTAACTCAGCCCCATAATTAGTTTCTGCATGCTGTTGTAATGTAATTAATAACTTGTACCTGATGATGGTTCTGATTTGGTGAGCCATATTGCTGTTTGCTTGTTAGAGCAACGTGTAGCTTGGTGCTGTTCTTATTAATAGCAACACTATGTACTGAGAAAGAGGGAGAAACTTCTTGTTGACCTATTCTTGACAAGCGTGTCTAATTAATTAAACGTTTGTTGATATCAGCAAAAATCTTTAAAGAAAGCTAAGCAGTTGACTACAGCACTTTAACCCTGGAAAAAGAAATTCCCCTGAAGTGGAATCCATAGGAGGAACTGAGGAGGTATCATTTTGCAGGAGTTGCTGAGAGGGATTTTTGATTTGATTTTGTTAAGCTGTCAGTTCTGGTGATCAGCAATTGTTTTTTGCTGTTAAAGGTAGTGCTCTTTTCTAGATAGAGTTTACAGTTAACTGCTTTCCACTTAAATTTCCTTTTTTAATGATACTTAACACAGGAAATGCATGGTTAGTATTTCTTTGCTGTTTTTATAGGTATGGGTGTAAGAGAGAATCATGTGGCCTGTTTGGGGCTTTGCAAAAAATTTATTATGGTTTCTTTTCTTTGTGCAAAACTGTGTGTTGGCCTCTGTCTTGTTATTGTTTGAAATTCTATCAAATCAAGTTATGGTGTAAAATCTTTGACAAAACTTGGAAAGATTTAGATACGAAGTTTCCGTAATTCTCATGGGATAGATGTCATTCAATCAATTAAGAGCATAAAAACTTCCAAGGATCTGGTCATTGGTCCAGGTTTCCTTTGGAGGAAACAAACTATTTTTACAGGAGTATCTTGAAGATATTTTAAACAATATTTCTAGGAGAGATGTGCAAAAGTTTCTCCTACTAGCTGAACTATTGATAGTTTTCATATTTTGGATGTGTGTGACCAAGGTTCTTCACAACATGCTGGATAACTATTTCCCTGGTGTCATTAATTTATTCTTGCCCTTACAGAAATATTAATCTGATCCATCTTTGGATTGCGCTCACATTTTTTCATAGCTGGCACACTGATGTTTGATTTGGTTGTGATCATCACCAGCACCTTGTACTTTGCTGAATCTCACTTTCTTTGCTGGTTTTCATCTCCAAGGTTGTTTGTATCACTTTTCCATTGTATGTGACAGTGCCTCTTAATAATTAAGGTTGTTGAAAGAGTTATGGTCTGACTTCCCATGTCAAGGCCACTGATACAGATATTAAACAAGATCGGTCACAAGTCTGATCCTTGAAAAACTCTTACTCATTTATTTCCAACCTGATATCTCTTTACCCAGTTGTGGTTTTTGTTAATTAATTGATCTGGACACATTTCAGCTTATCTAGTTCAATAATTTGTGTCCTCCTAAATGAGCTTTTACGATAGTCAAGATAACCATACCTGGTGTGTTTCCATCAAGCACAATTAACAGTAGGAGAGTATGTTGCATTTAACCCTCTCTCTCTTTCCCTGTTTTTTCCCTGCAAGCTTTGAGCTCAAGAATTTCATGAGAAATGGCTCAGCTACAAGGCTTGTAGGTGCCCTATTTACTTCTCCCTTAAAAATAAATTATCAGATATTTTCTAACCTATGCTGCCATTTTGCACTTGATAATGTTAGAAATCTTTGCAGCAGGAATGCCTTTTTTTTTTTTTTTTTTAAGCCACTCTTAATTCTGGGATAATTCTCTCTGTCTGGCCTCAGACAGCACTCATCTTCCTGAATTTGTGACTTCCTGCCTTATACACTCATTCCTGCTAGCTATCCTGTCTTTGTTCCTGTTCCTTTTTCCACCTTATATATGGAAACCTAAAATAAAATATTTATTTTCAGGAGTCACATGTGAATAAGCTTTCCTCTCTACAGTATCCTTGCTGTTTTTTAACCCTGCTTATCTTATCATATTATCTGTGCGTCTGTTCCTGATATCCTTTTAAGAGTCCAGTTCCATTTCACTTTATGACAATTCCTTTTTTTCGTATCTCCGCCCTGATTAACTTCTAACTCATGCATCAGATCAGCACTTCTCCGTCGCTTCTTGGGGGAAGGGTATGTTTGTTCAAGCATTCCTCTAGGGGAGTTACTCATCTCCTTACCTCTGGAGTCCTTCCCTACAAATTTTCCTTTTGCTTGAGATAACAGCTTTTTGTTTCCAACTGGAGTAAATTCCTGGATTTTTTTTTCCATTCCCATCTTCAGAATATCTGCAGAAGGAGAGCCTGCCCTCAAATTACAGGGAGGGAGAAATGTGCAGCCCTTTGGGGGGGCTGAGCAGAACATCAGCCTAACCTGGGGGGGGGGGGTTGAATTGTCTGGCCAAGGAGTCAATGTCCTGTTCACAGCAGAGGTACAGAGGGAGGGTTGGCTTCCCTGCTTCAGAGCTGGGGTCTGGAAATACACTCCTTTGAGATCCTTTGTCAAGGAGGGTATTATTTGTAGTCTGTCTGCCCTTTTAAAATCAAGAATCTTCATTGTAAATCTGCTTTTGTTAATTCTTTGACTTTAAGCCATGTCTTTTCTGTTGTAACTTATCTGGGGTTATTTCCTCTGACAAATTTTCCATACTTGCCAAAATTAATCTAAAAGATAAAACTACCTTTTGCTGTTTCCAAGGTGGTTGGAATTGCAGCCAGAAACATATGGACGCCTCTGTGCAGCGAAGGCAGTATTGAGTTAATTGCCAGGAGGTGAAAGTTTTCTGCTAAGACAAAATTCTTCCAGGACCCAAGCCTGACTCCAAGGAATCCATTGTCATCTTTTTTTTTTTTTTTTTTTGTCTTCCCTTGGAAAAACTGTGAAATTTAAGAGGGAGAAAATAATCTGAATGGTAGCAGTTTGGTCGATTTGCTCAGTGTCTCAGCTTTTTCTGACCACTTTAACTAACGTAGGAGGAATTTTTCAAGTCACATTATCATCAATGGCGAAAGCAAAGTCAGTTTTAATTCTGCTAATAATCTCTCGCAGAATATTATGGCTCCTGCAACAATGTAATGGTGTAGGTGGACTTTCATTCCTCCAACATTGGCCGCTGCACACAATGCTTGAAATCGTTCCAAATTTGCTTTGTGTAAAGAGAGCAAAGTCTCTGCTTTAGAAGGCAATTTGATGCTTCACTAACTGTGCTGAGTAAAACAGGATTTTCTTTCTCAAGCTCATCGGGAATATTCTTGAGGGCAGCCTCCCTTTGTTTGTGGTTTGGAGGCCTTATCAAGGGGCCTGAAATTGTCCCGTTCTGCTGAGCAGTTCGAGCTCTCCAAGTCCGTGTTAACACATTGGACTACCCAGTGTTCGAGTGGATAGGAGTTCTCTGAATTCACCCTGCCTTTAAGGCTATAATTAGTGGACTGACCAGTCCTGTGTATCTACCTTTCAGAAAATTGAGGTGTGTTCCTTCCCTGTATCTCCAGGGCTGAATTTGTTTGCCAGTGTCAGGGAGCTCTCGGTTCATCCGGCACTGACGCACAGAGCGAGAGGTGAGGAGTGTCTCTGAAACCAAGTGCCCTGAGACTCTGGGGGTTGAAACAAGCTTAAATCGTACAAAGGCTGATGAGAATAGTAGAGCTTGGAACACAAATACAACTTTTGAGTGACGTGCACTTCAGCAAACAGCCATGTTCCACGGCATAGGTAGTCTTGGGACACCAGATGCCTATCAAATACCATCATCTGCTGTTGGAAAAGGCAGTGGGCTACATCGAGGCTGAATCTGAGAAACTGCAGAAAGTAAATAACTGGTAACCTGCATAAGAACAGTTCAGCAGGCATAAAGGTAGAGATAAAAATCTTTCTTGGTTTCGTGTACAGCTGCTAATATAAAAATACCTGTTGCTTAATGTGTATGTCTTCTGTTTGTATTTTTGAAGGGATTTCTCAAGATTTTGTAATGGAATTTTGCCTTGGGAAATAGTCATCTGTAATTTCAGTAACATACCTTAGGACAAAATATTCTCTAAAGCAAAAGTATTCTTAAATAGTTTCTTGGTAATATTTTACCATATCTTGAATCTAGAGGGCTGAAACTGAATCTTGAATTTCAGTTTCAGAAGAAAAAAAAACAACAGCACATAGATATATATATATCTGTCATGTAAATCTGTGACACACCCAGGCACTGAGCACTTCATTTCTTACCCTTTCTGTCATGAGGGCCCATCCATGTGTTTTGCACTTGAACTTAGGGAAATAAATTTGTTTTGGTGTAAGATTTTTCTATATTCCATATGCTACCAAGCCCGCAGTAATGAAATGGTAAAGATGGCACAAAGCGATGCAGCAAAATGGGAGCTGTGGCATAGGAAGGAGCAGTGTCTGCTCTTTGAGCCAAAAATTCATGGGGCATTGAGAGCCCTTTCTTTGTACCAGTGAAGTATGATAATCAGTGGAGTTGCAGCATCTTGCCTTTTTGAGAGGCACCATCTCCTTGGCTTCTGCAGAGTTTCTTCTGGTATGTTTAGCCTCTAATTTAGAAAGGAAAAATACCAATTGGCAAGTAATTCTAGAAAGATTCCTTCTTCCTGTTTTAACTCAGCCTGTATCCAAATTACACTGCACTGGGGCTCATCTCTGCCTATTCATTGTCTCAAATCTTCAGGCTCTGACTAGTTACCATGGTACTGAATTTCTTTTGATTATTTTGTGAAATTTTCATTCTGTTCCTTAGCATTTCTGTGATTTACCAAGAAGGTGAGAATCAGGAAAGGAACAAACTTCACAAATTGTTGCAGTACAACCAATGGATTTTTGATGACACAAAAGTGATATTTCCTTTCATACCCACCAGGAAGCAAACTGATATAAATATTCAGTGAATTTCAAAAGGTGAACTTAGTTCTTGCAAAAATTTATGTTGCATTACTTTCAATTTGCTCTGAAGTCCTTGCTTTTAGAAGCATCTTCATAAACTGCCAGTGTGCAGTTAGTACTGTGTAATCTGAAGTGTAATTATACTGTGTAAATATCATCTGTGGGCACCCTGCTCTGTCTGGTATTGGAATTTCCACTGTAATATGTGATGATTTTATTGTGAAGCAAGACTAAGTGAGCTTCCCTTGTCTTAATTGTCTCAAAATGCCATTTTTTTCCACTCTCCTTTGTAATTTGTTGAAATAGAAATAAATTATACTTTAGTCATTAATTCCAAATGCTTTCAGCTTAAAACCGAATACAGGTACATAATTTTCTGAAGAACCTTGAGTGTATTTGTGTAATTCTCATGCTTTCCATTTGTTACTGGATTTGTCCATTTTGTTGTAATGCTACAGTTATTCATATGGAAAATACTGATTATGAATTCTTTCTTTAGGTTGCCATAAAAATAATTGACAAAACACAGCTGAATCCAACTAGTCTACAAAAGGTAGGTTTTTCCATTTAATTTTTCAACTGGTATTATAACTCGTTTCCTTTTACCACCTTCTCCCATTGAGGTGAATGCCTATGCTGTAGAATCTGAAACACTGCACAACTTTCACACATCTGACTACTGTATTTAATAATTGCATTTTTACCAGATATTTTTGACGACTTTGCAGTTGTTCTAGATGCACGTACTGTTTTATAGATGACCTCATACAGAGCTGTAAAGAGAAAACAGCGGTGTTAGCGGCTTCCTTTCCCACAAACGTAGTGTAACTGTAGCGAGGATGTTCGTGGTTTGGTGTCATGCCTCCGTGTCTCCTTCATATTGGTCATTTTGTTGAGCTTAAAAACTAAAAGCGTATGTTCTGTCCTCTTAAGCTGGCCTTGAAAACTGCCTCTGGACTGAAGGCCAAGCAGTGTCTATGGCTTTCACATAATTTTCAGCAGAAATGGTGTTACAGTTTTATGGAATAACTTGAAGCACGGCTATTCTGGTTTCTTCCTTCTAGTCTCAAATGTTTTATGTGCCGTTACAGTTGTATCGCCTTATCTATTTTAGTAAGTAGTGATAAATCCTACTCTTTCATCAGGCAAGCCAATCTGCTTTGGAGTGCCTGCAGGAAGTACATTTAAATGTCACTTTTACCTAGGACTTTTCTAACTCTGTCCTTTTAAGTGCTGCAGTCAGTCTTTTTATTTACTTTTAAGTACTTTGATTAAAAAAATAAAATAAAAAATAAAGCTCCTTGCAATATTTCTGTTTGAACGAGAGAATACCCAGAACTTAACTGCAAACAATATTAAATTGCATAACCAGAGTAAACTGGAGAACATACACATTCGGGTTTTATGCAAATACTGAAAAGATTGCGTGAATAGATGGTTTTATCAAAATTAATGGTGCAAAAGTAAATTGGAAAAATACACAGGTCCTTGCATTGTATGGTTTGGTTGAGAGGCAAAGAACAGCCTACAGAAGAAAGCCACCATCATTTTAGCAAGAAGCAACATCATTGCCTTCTACTGCCCCTGTAGGCTACATAAAAGTAGATAATATGGTTGCAGTTTTCTCAAATTTTTTCAGTTTAATTCTTGACATTATTATTAATTTCTGGCTAAGCGGAGAAGAAATTAAATACAAACGAGGTCATATGATGATTTACATACAGTGGGTTTGTGCAGCAGATCTGTGCAAATTGGAGTACCTAAAAAGTTCTATTAACTTCGGGGTGCATTTGGAAAAGAAGAGCTGTGGTGGTAAGGGGAGGGGTCACTGAGCATGGAAGAAAATGGTCAGAGAAAAGTAGAGAAGATGTGTTTTGAGAGGGAAAAAAAAAATCTTACTCCTTCAAATATTGTTATCTGGAGACTGTGTCTTAATGCCGCTAGCTTGAGCTAATAGTCAGGTACAAAGCCAACCTTTCACCAGTCGGCACTGGCTGGAAGTGTGCTTGTTGACCCTTTGGTTCCTGGTTTCAGCCTCTTCGGTCTCCACTCTCATTTCCCTCTCTGTTGTTGTTTCATTTTTATTTACAGTTAATAAAATTAGATTGTAAGGTGTGATTTTTAAGTCAGTGTTTTCTGCCATTAGGTTCTTTAAATGGGAGTCTGGAAGAATAGGACAAAGTAGTGGGGTAGAAATCCAATCAGAGTTGGGGAGGGATTGCTAACATGTTCACTTCTCTAAGCTCACTGGCTATATAAGCACTTAAAAAGGTTTTGCAAGATATCTCAGTGTTCTTGATTCAGAAGTGGAAAGTCATTTTCTTAATTTTAAGCACCTGCTTATGGTAAACAGTACATACACAATGCATTACTTATCGATTTTGCTTCATCAGGGCTTTTTTTTGAAAGAGCTTGCCCGCTTCCCCCCAGTGCTCTTAGCACTGCTGTAGTCTCAGCACATTTGAAGCAAGCTGCACGCATGACCTGTGGAGTCAGGGCAAGCTGAGATGAAGTGCTTCTCATCAGGGCTTCTGCAGGGAGTGATGAAATATGCGAGGTATGGTGGGGAGGGAAGGGCAGTGCCGAGAAGAGGGTGTGGTGTAGAGTGTCTGCATACCCTACTCATCCTCAGGTGGCGAAACGAGTGGTGATTAAGGTTTCTGATCCTGATTTCTGTCCTGTGTCTTCCACAACGATACTCCAGCTGCCAGAGGGGAGTTACCCTTGCTAAGGGGTGCCGCGCTCTCTGCAGCAGTACTGTGCTGTGAGCTGCGGGTGGCTGCAGCTTTGATGGATGTTTTCAGAGTGCGGTTCTTCAGAGGGGCTCTGTGCTGCTGGGGAAGTCAGTGGTAGCCACATGCAGCTACTCTAGTTTTAGGAGCTTGTTACAGCTCTGCTGCTTTTGCTTAGCAAAGAGGAAACTAAGTGTTACTTTCCTGCCTTAAAAGAAAAGAGAATTCTCGGGGCTTTTTTCCCATGCTAGTGTTAGTCATAATCATTATTCTCCCAAAATGCACTTTGTACCAATCACAGTGAGTATCGGTCTCGCTCGAAATGAGTGTTGATGCTACAGTAGCTCACTTCCTTCTAGACAAAAAAAAAATTGTTTGTTTTTTTTTCTTTTGAATCAGCAATGCCATTATACGCAAGATTTTTTTTTTCCTAAGCCCATGTAATAGCACTAAATAACTTCTCATTTTCCTTTTTTAGAACTTGGCTCCTCAGCCAGATTTTTTTGTTCATTATGTGCAGATGTTTTGCCACTTGTTTGGACCTTTTTGTGAAATCTTTTTTAGAGTTCTTAGCTACAAATCTGAATATGAACCATGTTCTTCCTGACTTCTGATCAATCTGTTTTTAAAAAGTGCAAAGAAGGTATGAAAATTTAAAAGACACAGACTTTTTTTGTTTATAGCACATATTTTGTGTGTTTTCAAGTTGTGTGTTACTTGGTACAAACATGCATTGTGTAAAGGCTTCCTGATTGAGGCTGCTAACTATATATAGGGCCTGTTTCGGTGAGCAGTTATCAGGAGGAGCCTAATACACAGTTAAAGCTTGAACTGGCTTGGGAGAACATCTTGTGAAAAGCCTCCCTGCTTTGAGGGGAAGGAGGCCAGGAAATGTGCTCTGCATCTGACTAGCGTACTGACTTGCTTTTTAGCAAACTTTTCTTCAGTGTTTTTTGAAATCCTTTGTTACTGAAACTCTTGCAATAGCTAATGCAGGAACACTTTGTAATCTGTCTTTCAGCTTATTCAAAGGGTTGGCTTGAAAGCTGGTTCTCTATTTCCCCAATCCATGTTGTTTTAGATGTATCAGCATAATAAAGTTCAAGTAAAATTGGTTCAAGATTATTCCTCAGTATGTGTCTGTGTTTCCATTGCTACTTTTCTTTTTGCTCTGTTTGTCCACTGGCAGTATTAAATTCTTTCCCTGTATCTAACACGACTTGCAGTCAAAGGACGAGACCACAACAAAGCTGAGAGACGTTTGTTTGGCAGACTTAGGATGTTTGTCTTTCCCTAGAAACATTTGCAGAGCTCCTGTTGACGGAAAATGAGCTATTCAACAAGTTGGGAGTAGTTTTCAATCTCTGTATTAGAAATTAAACTGATAAGCACTGTTTACAGTTGATAGTCTGCCTCTATGGTCACATTATGACAAGTTCCTGAAACCTAGAGAATTATTTTCTGAGTAGAGAACCTTATGTTGCGTGTTATGATGTTACACGTTCATCTGCGTTGCTGTGTCAGAAAACCTCAGATGTGTGGGCTTTTGCCAGACCTTGCTATCTATAATGAACTGTGCTGGGGGCTTTAAAAAGTATGGCAATAATTAATGCTTCATTTATTGGAGGTCGATGCAAATAGCGTTTTGGGGGAATTAAATGTAGAAAACCTTTCAGTGTAATATGTGAAAGTTGTATCATGTTTTACGTTCTATTCCTCTATCAGAAATAGAATATAATACAATGCTAGACATTTGCAGATGTCCCTGCTGAAGTTGCTGTCTGTGTCAAAATGCCAAATATAACATTTAAACTGTCTACAGAACACAATCTGAAGTGCATTTATATAACTAAAATTATGATAAAACATTTGGTGGAGTTTGTATCCTATTCTCAAGTATTTCTATTTTGAACTTCCCCTAAGACAAAAATAACTATTTTTAAAGAGCTTGTTTCTAGTCAGCAACTGCAAATAGCTCATATGTAGACACCACTTTTTGATGGGCTTCATCTGGGTTAGTAAGGCAGAGTAGTCCTGTGGAACAATGATATATTTACAACAGCACAAAATGTGATATGAGCCTGCCTTTATCACATTAGCCCATCAAACTGCACACTGCAGCGGAGGAAGTAGCTGGCTCCAGCCAAGTCAGCGTTCTCTATAAAAAGATTAGATTAATGAGTGTATTTGTTTACATGATGATACCATGAATTTTGGCCTCATCTTTATTGTCTTATTCTGTATTGCCTTCATTTGTTTGTTCTTGTTTGGTGGGACTAATTATGATTTTGGTTATTGCTGATACTGCCATTTGTAATCCCCTGAACATACCTTGGTAGGTAGGTGAGGTGGTGATAAATGGGCTGACAGCTGAACAACAGGCAAGGACTGCATCTGTGCAGCACTGGGGTTGCACTTGATCAGTCTGACCCAACAGACCTTGATCTGGGGGTCAGAAGGGAGTCCAGAGGAAATTGACAGTCAGTCGTGAGCAAATTCTGCAAGCTGTCTTCAAAACAGGCTGACTGGAGGCTTTTAGTTATACAGGCTGCAATAAAAAATATGAAGTATTCAGAGTATATTTATTACAGGCTATTCCATCTGAACTGGAAGAAAAAAAAAAAAAGAAAAAAATAGATTCAACTGCATTTAAATGTCTTGTGTTTAGAGAGCTGTGGTTAAGTGCTCTACCTCATTGAACTACATATGAAAAAAGCTCCAGAAACAATGTAATAAAATAAAAAAGGCAATTTACTTATCTTAGGGGGGAAAAGAAAACATGCCCACAGCTTGTGAAACTGTCTTCCATGGCCAAAAATTTAATTGATCAATCAGTCTTGATTGCGTTTAGGCAGTTTATCATCTAGAAAAGTGTCAGGCATAGATCTAGATAATGAATATACTGTAATTAAAACTATTTAAAAACTGTTTAGTTTTATTCTGTGTTCAGGTACTGTGCCTTTCACAGCTGTGGCTGTGGCATAGGGGAGAAAGCCTTTGAGGCATTTTAATGAGTTGTTATCCAAATGGTAGCCTCACAGAAGCATTGGAAAGCAAAGAACTGTTGGAAATGGTCTCCATATTGTGATTTTATATTTTTCTGCAGCTTGTTTTATTAAAAGGCAGAAAAGTGGAATGGTTCTGTTTTGTTGGTTTTGTTTCTCTTTTGTTTCCTGTGTTTTACTTTTTTTTATTTTGAGTAACTACACCTTCAGTTTTTCAGAGTCATTATTAATAAATGTAGCCATTAAATGTCCTCACTTTGTGTGAAATCTGACCTAAGGAGAATCTTAACAGCACCTTTTGCTTTCCTACTGTTAATAACAGTGCTGTTATCTCTTACTTTACAAAATCCCTTTCTTTTTTCCCTTGTCTGCTCTCCTGTGGAGCCGTGTACTTTCTTTCTGCTTCAGTCTCTTTACATTATGTTCAGTACGACCTGTTACGTTACTGGTATTCCTGTAGATGTTGGTGTTAGGTTTATAATAAAACCGCTTGATTACTCCCTCGTTTGGAAGCATGCTGTTAGAAAATAATCAAGGCTTAAGAATGTCAGCCATCTGGAGGCTTAGGCTCTCATGGGGGGAAGCTATAGAGGGAGAACAGTCACACACTATATAGCTCAGAAGTGCTACCTCAGAAGTTCCTTTTTTTTGGTAAAGAGTGGCTGTAGGAAGATAAGGGAACCTGAACACAACAGTATTTGCACTTCAAGGTGTTTCAGTAGAAGTATACAGGCCTGTTGTGTAGGAAGGTGGATGGTGAAGAGGGTGGCTGATCCCTTTGAGATTGTACCCTCAAGCAGTGGTGTGTCTGCTGGGGATTGTTTGCTCAGGAAAAGGCTGTGTTTTGCCCCGTTAATTTTGGCTAACGTTCAGTGTACTGCATCAGCAGTCTTGGAGGCTAGGTGTCTGGCAATGAAAGTTGTTGAAGCTGTGGTGACAAATCCAGAGCTAGATGTTTTTGTGCCTCAGTCGTCTCGAAGGAATGCTTCTGAAGGCCCAAGTAGTAATCTTGCCTGACCATCTGTGCTTAAAACTTGTTTGTTGCTGGTTTAGTTGAATGACACATTTTTTGTGCGATATAAGCATCTGATTTTTCACCTCTCAGTTCCTGTCACGTAGGAGAGGATTTTGGTGGTGTCCTGTGGAAGGCTAGGCTCTGACGCAGTACTGAGGAGCCCATACCACTAACACAGCATGGTGGTCTTCAAACAATGCTCTGGAGGGGGGTTCATAAAACTTTGAACCCAGGATTTTCTATGAAGATGTGAAAGAGTATATGAGATGTGATGTACAGTGGCCATCAAGAAGCTGCTTGGGCTCATAGTGGTCTTTTGGCCCCAAAAGTGTGAGAACCACAGAGCTGAGAACACTTGTCTCCTGAGCTATCTGCAGCACTTCTGTGGGTGTTGGCAGGGTTTTGAGGGGAGGCTTAAAAGAAGTTAACTGTTCTCTCCAATAAGTTGTGTTATGAACTTCCTTGAAACACTAATAAAGTTTGCCCTTTATGTTTAAAATTAAGCAAGTACATCAAAATGATCAGGCTTTACAAAGAAAGAGTATTACCTATTATTTTTGTTAACTTATTTCATGTTTTATGTTTATTTCAGCTCTTTAGAGAAGTAAGAATAATGAAGATCTTAAATCATCCAAATATAGGTACCTTTTTATTTCTCGTTATATTCAAATCCAGTGAAATGTTGCCTCTTTTTTCCACCATTAAAAATGTTATATGATAATTGTAAAATAATCTTAAAATAGGGGGGTAATTTACTGTAAAATAGCAGTAAGAAATTCCTTGTCATAGCAGTGTGTTTAAAAACAACAACAACAAAAATTTGGGCCCTCTCCACAAAATAGTTATTTCATAGCCGATTGCTCAAAAGGAGCAGAGTTATCATAATGCTGATTTTTTTTTTATTGGATTCAGGCTCTCATTAAAAGAGTTTTGTATCAAAACAAGAAATGGTCAAGAAATTGATCTGGATTGTGAAGTTTAAACAATGTACTATTGTTAGGGTACTGTCAGCGAACTGACTGATAACTTATTTGTCGCCATGTATGCCAGTACAGTGTGTAAAAATGGCCATTACTGACACTCAAATTTATGGAAATTTTGTTTAATCTAGTTGCTTTTCCCATATAATCACATCAAATGATTGTATTTTATGAGTTGAGAAAATATGCTATTGTATTTTCCATTTAGGACAGAAAAAGCTAGTTTAGAGTAATAATCTAGTACTGTCAAGAATCAAGAAAATTGTGGGGTTTTTTTCCTAACAGAATTCCTTATAGAGTTAATACTTCTGCAACTAGCTAACTGATTAATAAGTTGCTTTCTCTTCCAGTGAAGTTATTTGAAGTCATTGAAACTGAAAAAACTCTCTATTTAATAATGGAATATGCGAGTGGGGGTAAGTACCTCTCTGCTGTGATGACAAATGTAAATAAATTGCCAAGTGGCAGAAAGCACTTTTTTTTTTCCCTTGAAGTTTTACCTTCCTGTTTATCAAATATTAATATTGTGGTAGGGTAAATTTTTTAAGCAACGTCTTTAATATTCTCAAGTTACTCATTCAGGCTCCTTAATTATAACTTGTAAAACTTCATTCCAAACTTACTGCAATTTAATAACATTTGTTTTGCTTTTACAACTTAAATTTTAACTGGAATCTTTGTTCAGCCTTTGATTGGTTCTATCTATAATAATAAATGTCAACCTTTCAAATTTTTTTGTATTAAGCTCCCTAGGACTGCTGTCTTGTCTTATATAAGATGCTTGGTTAAAAAAATAAAATAAAAAGAGAAACACTTTTATATTTTTAACTGTTGCTTTCAAAAGCATGAGTACTGAAACTTCTGTTTTTTTAAAGTTGATGACATTTGACATACCATAATCACAGACCTTCTACTGTCAAGAGTTATTAGGCTTAGCCTTATGTCCATTTCAGGAGGGACGTTGTGGAGGAACTTTAACATTTATTCCTGATTGCAGAGGAGGAAGAAAAAAAGACTGCATCATGCAGTGTCAGATAGCTCTGCTGAAACTAGAATTAAGATATTGGGGATTAAGTTACTCCTTGCTGGCTAAAACCTAATAGCCCACTGTTTGTCAGTGTGACTCTTCAGCATCAGCATCTGGGAATCGCCAATAGTTGAGGATTTTCTTCAGTTGTGGGAGGGAAATACAGTTTTTTCTTGTTGACAGTTTCAGCATTGAATTCTAACTCTGCTAGATTGTGTGAAGTTAATTCTTAAATCAGGTAAAGATCCTCTAACTGCCTCAGTTGTCTTCTAGCAGGTCCCTAAATGCTCCACCAAGCTTTGTCTAACCAGAACCAAGGCTGGTAAAACGCTGTTAGGATATTGGCTAGTGCATGTTTGTGAAGGCGTCTCCGTGCAGTTTGTTGGTGCTAGACTTAAAAGTGAAGTCTTGTTGCCATCTAGTGATTGGCCTCCACAAGGTAGAAGGGCCAACAGCGCTCTAAAGATCTTAGAATAATGGAGAAATGCGTGCAGGTCTGAAGGGCTGTGAGCAATGCCCTGTGCATGTGCAGTGTTGTGCAAGACAGGCATGGCCAGTGACCTGAGTGACAGGGATTGTTTTCCTTATTTCCTCCTTGAGATACTGGTCACACGTGAACTGTATAAATTATGTGGTTGGAGGATGAGAGACTGTATTCCTACAACTGCAACATTTGCCTAAGTTGCCTATATTTCTTTCTCTGGTATCGTTTTCCCCTGAATTATAAAGGCGTGTTCAGCTTTGCCCCTTCAAATTTTCTCAAGAAACAGCTGTGAAATACACCTGAGAGAATTTTCTGACTTGGGTATTAAATGTGCTACAGAGGAGAGCAAGACTATTTTGTAGAAAATCCTGACGCTCTCTCAGATAGCTCAGTTGTTGATTTTCCTGCTGTAAGACTCTTACATTTTTTTATTATTATTTAAAAGCAAACAAAAAACAAAACATCAAAAAAACACAGCTCTTTAGTACTACTTTATTCTCCTTTAGATGTCTGAACCATACACCATAGGGCTTGTTCAGAAGTGGTGTTTCTCTTGTGTGTCTTACCTATCTGATGCTTGTGGGATGGATTATCTCAGTGTCCTACTGGCCTCATTATTGAGAACTTCATTGCAGATACCTCTTCCAAGCTTAGGTTAGAACTAAGATTTCTGTGTTGGTTAGAACTCCTGTATACACACGTACAAAGAAAAATTCTGGTGCTGATATAACAATATGACAGATATCATCAGATGCTTTCATGTATGAGGCTAATTTTTGTGGTGCAAAAGATACTCATGTGAGAAAGTCTGTGAAGGGGTACAGGTCATCTTTATTTACAAAACAGAAGTATTGCTGCTCAGTTTTTGTCCTAAACAACTGGAAGGAAATGTTTCTGTCTGTATCCAGTCTTTCATTAAGCCTTATTGTTTTCTTGTGTAAGAGAGAACGTTGTAGTAAATTGTTTGTATTCACATCATTTACGCCTTGTTCTCTTGAGCTAACTTGTAATGTTAAACCTGAGATCAACTTGTAGCATAACCATGCAGTGAAGTTGCTGTGGGTAACTGCTCGAGAGGAACCTCTATATCCTGACACTGGCATTAACCTGTCTCATTATTGACTTGTAGGGGAGGTGTTTGACTATCTGGTTGCACATGGAAGAATGAAGGAAAAGGAGGCTAGAGCTAAATTTAGACAGGTATGTATAACATCCCTATACATCAGCTTCCTGCCCCCCCACACCCATTTTTAGTGGTGAAATGGGTAAAACAGCTGTCCTGTGTGTTTTACTCAGCATGGTGTGTGGACTTGTAGCACTGAGTAAGAAGAAACTTGGTTCCAGTCGTGCTTTGAAGGGGTTAGTAGTCCAGTCAGCAGTGCTAGCTTCCTTAGTGTTTGTGCCAGGGTGTCCAGGAGTGCCAGAACACAATGACTGCTTGATTTGGACATGGATTCTGTTCCAAAATTAATTTCCTCTGGGTTGATTTCACATATTCTACGTTCAGCTTGTCTGTAACCTTTTGGAAGTTGTTCAAGTGTAACGTGCTACAAACCAGGTCAGCAGCAAACACAGGCAGTGCCTGGTAGAGACACCCGTTTACAACCATGCACTTGCACAAAGAGATGCAATTTAACAGCTGTTCTAAAAAATAATAATAATTAAAAAAAAGTAATCTAGGCTTTCTTGTTTTCTTTATGATGGATAAACTGGACTTGCAAAAATGTTGAATATCATTGATCTGTAAAAAGCATTTCTATGCTACAGTCAAAGCAGTATTGAACGTATGCACATAATTTGGCATAACTAGTTAAAAATCCAAGTCTCTGCTCTTGCAGCATTTGAAGTTTCATTTGCAGATAGATCTATTTGGTCTGATATACTTTGGTTTCTGCTCATGTGCTGAAACTTGTGAATGCTTATGTTATTTCTGTCCCATTGGATAATTTAAATATTTTTTCTCACAACATTAAAATTATGCTTCTGTTTCATGACACTTTAAAATAATGAATATGGGCAAGAGGGTTTGCGTTAACTATATGTGGGGGTTTTCAAATTGTGGCAATGACATGGCAGTTTCACTGCTGGAGGGAAAAGCTATGGTAGTTTCACATCTTAAAGTGCAGCCATACAAAAATAGAAGTAATTTGATATTAAATATGAACCTTCCAGGAAATTAATTACTTTCACAAAATGCCATATAAAGAAAATTTTACAATTCTCTGGAGTGGATAGTGTGACCAAGACAAATAATATGTGGGAACTAGGAAGCTGTCATAACTTGTGGTAGTAAGATTTGCAATATAATAATAAACTCAAAAGTAGCAGTTAAAATAAGGAGAAAAATAGAAACTCATTTAATCCAAAATAAGGATGCAACAAACTCATTTCTATAAAAACCTTGTTTCTTTTTCTCTCATCATTTTAAATCTTGTACATATGTTCTTTAATCTTTTGCAAAAATAATCATGAAAATAAAAAACAAGCCCCCAGAAAAAGCAGCTGCAGACTTTATATTCCCAGAAGGAGTGATTTGTGTGTACTAGAGTAATATACAGCTTCAGAGTAAGGAACATTTTTTTCTTGTTTAATAAAATCTTATGTCTCTTTATATCTTATGTTCTGTCAACTCTAGAGTGCTTTCCTTTGTGATTAAGAATTTCTTACGTGCTTCTGTGCTGTGTGTTGGAATAGATGTGATCAATTGTACTGGGTTTTAAAGCAGTCATTTCCACTTTAGCTGTCTTTTTCTAAATCCCAGACCATAACCTTTCTTTTTGTAATGTCACCTGGAATACTTAAGAATAGTTTGAGAGGATTTGCTGCTCTCTCTCCCGTGAATGTTGAAAAGTACCACTGGTATGGTACTTTGCTGTCTGTGCTACCTTTCTTTTATTAGGAGCTGCATGGAAAAAGATCTTGTAGTAATTCCACTGCACATTTGTTCAACAATTGCCTTTTTTGTCTAAGGATTCAACTTGCCTTTACGTGAAAACTTGTAGAAACATGTCAGGCTTATTTTACAAGTACACTTAGCACTTCATTTTATGGAATAATATGTGTAATACAGGATATATGTAGCTTTAAAATAAATAACCTTTTTCAAAAACAAACACGAAGGAAAAGAATTTAAAAGATAGTTAACTGCTAACCTGTGTGTTTGACCCATCAAATGTTTTACTACAGATTCCCTGCTTTATTTCTGTACTTCAGTAGGATAAACGCTGTTCATAAAGATACATAGACGGCTGCTCTTCAGTCTACTGAAATATGTTTTGTTTCTTTTTATAAGTCTTGTTTCCTTTCAGAAACCTGGAGGAATTAGCTACCTATCCTTCATGAATAGCTGACTTGCTGGTTACTAAATTTATCCAATTTTAGAGGATCTTGATTTCAAAGATAGGAGGTTCTTGACAGCATCAAAAGCTTGAGAGTCTGGGTTATTACTAGGATTCTCTTTTTTTCCCAAGGAGAGAAGCTATAGTGTAAGCTCATCATAGTTTGCTAGAGAAATGAGCATGCGTGTGGGACAGAAGTCAGAAAACTTTGATCAGAGCTTGACATTTATTCAACACCAGGACTCTGAGGGACAGATCAAACCTAGTTCTTACTAGGTTTATGGGTCATGAAACTATTCACTTTGCTGTAGTCTCACAATAGCTTCGTGTAGCTTTTAGCTATTGCTGGAGGGATAACACTGTATAGAACTTTTATCTGATTCAATGCAGCTGTTCTTATGTTAGACTAGGACATAATAGGGATTTTTTTTAAAGAAATTCACTAGCTAGTTTAACAGGCAGGGGCCTTTTTAAGCTGCAGAAAGAGTTGTGCTGTGCTATTGAGCTTAGTACTTACAATAGGTGATATTATTATATTTTCAGATCCTGTTTCTTCCTTCAGTAGATGTGATTTCTGCATAAAACATCTGTGTTTTATCTGAGGAGGCATTTTAGCATCTCCCTCTCTATCAGGCAGTGATGAATTTGCTAATTCTCCCATCTTCATTTATTTAAAAATATATATATAATTTTTTGTCCATTCTGTTATGCATATTCAGGGCTTTTAGCAGGGGAAAAAAGCCCTGTAAAAGACAGTGATCAAATTATTCCAGTCATGCTTGACAAGGGACACTAAAAATACAGCCATGCTCTGCAGTTCTCCATTTCAGTCTTCTTTTGTGCAGCCGTGTATGAGAAATTCAAATCCAGAATGTTTTGCATTCTTAATGTCACCTAGCTTTTCTTTCCCTAGAAGACTTCCACGCAGTTCTGGTTCAACCTTAGCATCCTTACTCCGTACGGAAGCCTGCCCATCTGGATGAGAGTGAATGCAAAAATAGGGAGCCAAGTCTCAGGGGGGTGAAGGGGAGCTCTCCCACCAACAAAAATTGAAAATGAACATGTATTATTTCCCTCTCCTCCTTTACTGCTGCAGATTAGATCTGGATTCCTTCAGTCTTCTCAATTCTTTCCTGTAGAAGCAGATTGTAGAATTTTTAATATTGGTAGGTATTAGGACAAGTCTCAAATTTATATTTTAAAAAATCCACAAAATAAATCTTACTGTTGTATGTTCCAGTTAAGAAAATAAATGCTCATTGTAGCACTGTGGAAGGGACCTGGAGAGGTCATTTTTCTCTCCTTTTCTTGTTTTGTTCTATCAGCTAATCCTTAGGAAGAATAGTTTGTCTACTTAGAGGTAACTTGTTCTATCTTGTTCTTAAAATCCTGTGATTATACAAATTTTTGAAATCCCTCCAAAAGAAAGTCTTTAAATGCTCCTATTGTTACAGGTAGAAGTCTTCTGTGTCTTCCCCTGTTCTCCCCACCTGCCCAAGTGTCAGCAAATTTCTCGCACTCACATAGGTTGGAGCAAGGGGGCTGTCAACAGAAGTAGTGATGGAAGGTGGAAGGCAAGGAACTCAATTCAGTGAAGCCATGCTTTATGCTGTTTTTTTTTTCTTTCAGTTTTGACTGCTGTTAATCTTTCTTACACATATTGCATTATTTCCCTTCATTTCTGCAGTCTCTGTGCTATCCTTTTGCAATGCAGAGTAGTTCAGAAGCATCCCCAGGGAAAACAACTGATTGATAATCTGCTAGACTTTCTGCTCTTAGTTAGTCAAAGTAAAAGCAGTTCAGAAGCGAGCAGCTAGTGCTGTGTCTCTGCAGTCCTGAATAAAGCATGAGGTCTTTGTCACGCTGTCAGCCTTGGAAGCACCTGGGAAAGCAGGCTGGTGGCTGGAGCTGAGTAATTTCAGCAGGGAGGAAAGGAAGGAAAACCACGAGGATGGTACAAGTGGTGGCATGGGAGAACTTCGGCAATTTCAGTAACTGTAAAAAGCTGAGCTGGGAGTCTGAAAGAGGGAGTCAGTGCATAAAGGAACAAGTGGAAGCAGAATGAAACTGTAGGGAATAGAAATATTTCAACTTGTCATCGAATACTTGGCTCCTAAGGTGGCACTTTGTGCATATGCATGATTAAATAATGCAGGGGCACAAAGATTAAGATAATGTTGGTTGATTAAGTTTTAAATGCAAAGTGACTGGTAGGTCAGTTCTTTGACCTACCAGGAACCTTACCTTCACTTATTCTAAATACTGAAGAAGAAGCATTGCTTCCTACAGGGACAGGAGGATTCCTGTGCTAAGCTGCAATACTGAGTTACTTTTTGTGATGTTAATGACATCTCATCCTTCTGGTCTAGAAATGTTAATCTTGAACAAAGAATAGAAGCATATCGAAGTGTAGTTATCACAGTAAGTTATTGTTCTGTGCAGTTCCACTTACTTTTAAGAAGTCGTAACATCTGCCTCAGTTCTGACTCCGTGTGCATGACAATAAAATGTATTCGACAGCATTTGTGATTGCACAGCAATATGACCTTACCCAGCTTTTCTATACGTGCAAACTTCCCTGGTAATGCTCATAACTCTAGAGCAATACACTAGGACAACTGCATAAGCAGCTTATATAGCTTGCTATATAAAGCAGAAAAAAAAAAAGATAGTTGGAAATTATGATGGAAGAAATTATTCTGTTACACGTGAGAGACATAGAAGTTTTTTCCTTTGTGATTGCTACTCTTGTGCAGTATACAAATACAATACAGCATATGCACTGTAGACCTCCTGTCAGATGCATAGTCGTGTCTCACCACATAAGTGAAATTTCAACAAAGAAGCTTTTCCCCCAGTAATTTCTTCAGTAGCCTTTTCTCTTTTTCATGCCATGCTGTGGCATAAAAAATCACCTTTGCACAAGGACTGGAAAACATCAGTCTCAATGGAAAGCTTTTGTAGCTGTATACAGTATTGGAATGGAAATACTTCAGTAACCTTTCTGAAAGTCATTGCTTCTACTGTCTATAATTAGCCACGCTGGAGAGAGCAAAATGCTCTTTCAAATGTAGCAGAAACCAAGTAGATTGAATAACAAGCACCTAAGTTATGTAGCAGCTTTCTCCCAAATATGCTGGTCATTGTAGTAGTTTGTAGCTCTGACCTGGTAAGTACCTGTCAGCTTTAGTAATAAATGTTGAACTTCTTAATTAAAACTTTGTTTCTTTGAGATGTCACTTATATAATTGGGCTTGTTTTCTATCCAGATAGTATCTGCAGTGCAGTATTGCCATCAAAAGCATATTGTTCATAGAGATCTCAAGGTGAGTAGGGAAAAGTGTGTGATGTGTGTGTCTCTGTCAATCAGTTTGTGTACTTGTGGGTGGGATCTTTATTATATCTGTAAAATGTAGCATATATTAAGCTATTTGGGGGGATTTTTTTCTTGTATTATAGCAAGTTTTGATGAATGTTTAAGGCATAGAACCATTTAAAATAAAAGGAAAAGGTTTTGTAAGGCTTCTCAATATTGAAATGTAATGATTTCTGAAAGATAGTCCCACCCTCAGATCCTATTTAAATCTGATGCAGGTTAGTATTAGCTGAGGGTTTTTTTGTTGTTGTTCTGTTTTGTTTTTTAAGTACTTTGATAGAGGTGTGTCAAGTTTTGGTCTTGAAAAGAATGAGTTATCATTTGTGATGAGAAAACTGTGCCAAGTTGCAAAGAAGCCATATTACAAAGTGGTATATCCCTTCTTTAAACTGTGCCTTTTATATTAATAATGTTGCCACACATCTTGTTCAAAACAAAAAAAAAAAAAAGTGAGAAACGTTTAAAGATTGTGTGTATTACCGAAGGAATGTCATGTAAAGTATGGATAGTAAGTGTTCTTGTTTTTAGCTTAATATATGAAAAATGTAAGTTACAGTATCTCAAGATGAATTTCTGTGGAGAAAATGGATGGTAATAACACAGTTTTCCGTTATCATAACAGCTACAATAGACTGAAACCATTGTACAGACATTTTTTAAAACAGAATATACAAATGACAGACATATCAAAATACCTTGCAAGGAAGAGAATTTTAACAGATGTTTCAGCTTTTTGCATCCTAAGAATGACTAAAAAATGGCGGTAGCTTTTTAAGTAAAGTGTTTTAAATTCATTTTACAAACCATTCTTTCTCTTCCAGGCTGAAAATCTATTGCTAGATGCAGATATGAACATTAAAATAGCTGACTTTGGTTTTAGCAATGAGTTTACAGTTGGAAATAAACTGGACACCTTTTGTGGCAGCCCACCATATGCTGCTCCAGAACTTTTTCAAGGGAAGAAATATGATGGACCTGAAGTAGATGTCTGGAGTTTAGGTGTTATTCTTTATACCCTTGTGAGTGGATCTCTTCCTTTTGATGGACAAAACTTAAAGGTGAGTCTGTGTAGAAAATGCTGGCCCTCAGGGGGCCTGTTTACCTCATGGTTTAGTTATGTGCTGCTTACAACTTACTCTCTCTACTCCTTACTCTTTTACCAAGGAACTTAGAGAAAGAGTACTAAGGGGAAAATACAGGATTCCTTTCTACATGTCCACAGACTGTGAAAACCTCCTCAAACGTTTCCTGGTGCTAAACCCAACGAAAAGAGGCACTCTAGAGGTAATGGCACAAATAAACTGCCTCAGTGAGCTAGACATTATGTTTTGCAAACTTGATTTTTTGAGCTGATCAATAAGTTGTTATTGTCATGTTGTTCATGAATAGTTTATTTGGAGTGGGTTCCAAGGGGACTGAGTAAATGGCACGACTTTTGTTTTTTAAGGTTTCATTTGCAGGGATTGCAAAGCACCTAACCCCACAGTTACTTCCAAAATGAATGAGACATTACACAGCGTACATCATGCAATTTTTCATGATAGCTAGTTTTTGGATTCCTGCATTAATGGGTGATCTACCAGGACTTAACATAAGTGATCTGGAAGTATTCAGTACTAGGCTATGCTGTAGATGCTTTCTGTTTGCATTTTGTACTGTCATGGAGAAGAAAGGTGAAAATAATGCAGGCTTCCGTATGCTTCCATAGTTTGGTATGAACCTACTAGCTAGACTTGTCAGAGATGTAGCACAGCTTCTGGTCTGTGTTGTTGGGCTTTTCACGTTTCAGCTTTGTGCAGCTGATTGGAAAGTAACTTGCCTTGATGTGCATGGTTCTTTCACCTCACTGGAGCAAAGCAAAACTAGAGTAGGCACTGGGACCTATTCTGAAAAAGACAAATGAGAAAAAGCATTGCTGTTGATAGATGGGGGAGTTCTTTTTTCCACAATTTGCTTTGCTAATAAGTATATTATAATAACTTTTTTTTTTTTATAGCAAATTATGAAGGACAGGTGGATCAATGCAGGGCATGAGGAGGATGAGCTCAAACCTTTTGTTGAACCAGAACTAGACATCTCGGACCAGAAAAGAATAGGTAATTGAGGATTTTTCAGAATTATTATTTTTATTTTTTTTCCACCACTCTGTATTTGTTTCCCATTTGGGAGAAGTAAATAATCTTTTAACATTGATGTTTCATCAAGATTTTGTTCTCATGCTTAACAGTTTCATTCTTTACATGTTCCATTCTTTCTCTTGAACTTAAACACTCAGACAGTGTTAAGCATCAAAGTGTTTGTTACTTACAGAGTATGTATTTGTTTTTAGATATTATGGTAGGAATGGGATATTCTCAAGAAGAAATTCAAGAATCCCTTAGTAAAATGAAGTATGATGAAATCACAGCTACGTACTTACTGCTAGGAAGGAAATCATCGGAGGTAAGTATTGCTCTTCTAAATGCAAAGAAACAAAGGAATCAGTGTCCATAGCAAAATCAGAAGCAAAATTTAAGTCAGTAACTATAGGCATAACGTTCCTGTAATGTACACAAGTCCAGTACAGTTGAAGTTACGTTATTCTCATCATCAGTGTCAACTGAACTGTCCAAATCATGTTGTGTGTGTTCTCAGCATGATCCTATTCAGTAAACACTTGTCTTTAGGCTCCCAAGAACTGTTCTGCTTGGGCAGCAGGTATTCCTCTTAAGGATTGTATGACAGTTACTATATTCTCTAGGAGCTCAAGTGTGAATGTGCCAGTTACAAATATTTTAAGAGAACTGAAGAATAGGACTGATCACCCTAAAAACATTCTTGCATTGTAGACTACTTTTCCACTTGATGCTGAGAGGACTAGGCATCAGTAAATTGTTCTTGGTTCCTCTGCTGGAGGAGGTGGTGTGGTATCTTGATACTGAGTGTATTCTCTCTTCATGTTAAAATCTTACAGAACTGAGGAGAGAGGATGGGAAGTATAAAGATAGATTTTCTGTATCTGACTGTCCTTTCAGGAACTTCAAATTCTGCTGAGCTTCACATAAAGCTTCACATAAGACTGTTACAAATAATTTAAGAGAAGTTGGAGTTAGCATAGTGAGGCACTGATGCCTGGGCTCCTATGCAACGTCTCTCAATCACAAAATTTCTTACATAGTAGAGGCATGTTGGTGGATGTTTAATCTGTTTTGTCTGAACTCCTCGTTTTAATATTTGTATTGTAGTTGGATGCAAGTGATTCAAGCTCCAGCAGCAATCTTTCACTTGCCAAAGTTAGGCCAAGTAGTGATCTAAATAATAGCACTGGACAATCTCCTCATCACAAAGTTCAGAGAAGCATATCTTCTAGCCAGAAGCAGCGGCGGTACAGCGATCACGGTGAGCAATTCTCATTTATGGTGTTGTGGCATATGGTGACTGCTGGTCATGTTTGGTTTCTGAAATTGTCTCCATCCCCCAAAGGTAAGGAGAAGGATGACAGTGTAGTTTACAGCATGGTGATTAAATAATTTATTGAGTAAGTAATATTTTTTAAAATCAGTTTTGTTAGAAAGCCTTCCAAAATAGCTTCTAGAGGAATGCTGAGTACGTCAACTTAATTTTTGTGTTTTGCCTTGTGTCTTCCCTTGCATTCCTGACCATCCTGGGCATCTTGTTACACAAATTGAAGAGAATCTTGCAACAGCCTTTTTAATGAAAAGCACAGCACTCCTCCCCCATACGCTTGTATGCCTGGTCAGCTTTTGTTTTCTGTTGACGCTAGTAGGTCAGCTTGCATCTAAAACTTGTAGAAATGCCAGTTTGCCAATATTTCTTGTTTCCTGTTTCCTGAGGATAGCATCATTTGATTGTCCTGCAAAAATTAAATTTCTAAAGATCCGTGACTCAGACAAACTTAGAACCCTTCTGCTTTGTGAGTGTGCAAGACTGTGCTTAGGGTTTTCTAAATATCTTAAACATCTTCCTGCCTAGACACTACCTCATAGAAAGAGTCTCCATTTGGTCTACTCGTAAATAGCCGTAGTGCATTCAGAGGTTGCTTTTCCTGGGGAGTCCCTTAGGATGACAGTTACTGTGTTTTGTGATCCTGTCTTTCATTTTTACATACATGTAATGTATGTGTGTGTACACACACGTGCATGTTCTTGATTAGCTGTTACTGAAAATACTAACTAGAGAGTTAATGCAGCTTGATGTATCCTCCTCTGAGGAAATGCAATTGGGAAAACAGAAGAAAACAAAATCCTGACATCCACACAGGCTTTTTTTCCTAGTGTCTAGGAACCTATTTATGCAAGTGGGAGTTTGGGGCAGTTGCTCCTGGCATGCCTGGGGAGGTTTGTGGCAAACCGAAGCCATTTCTGGGCTGTTCTAAGAACACAGCATCCAGGCCATTTGTACTGCTGGTAGTACGGGGTTGCATCTCCAGGTACATGTCTCAAAACTCCATTTTTATTAGATACTAGCTTGTGTGTGCCAGGTTTGTGCTAGCAAAGGGTCATCAGACTTGAATGAGTCAATTACCTGTTAAGTGTCTTTAAGGTGATTATTCAGTGTTGTTTTTTTCTACCAAGCTAAAACAGTGTCAATACTCAAACACCAAAAGACTCCATGAAATTCTTAATTCTTCCATTGAAATCAAATAATATCTTCACCTAATAAATTTAAATAGTTTTCTATTATGGCCCTCCCTGCCTTTAGCAAACTGAAGTGTTGCATATCTTTGAACTATAATACAAAGGAAGGCCCTACCAGAGGTAACTAGAATTTCAAATATGTCAGATCTGAATTAAAAAAAAAAAAAAGAAGTGTGAGGGGAGGGGGTGAAAGCTTGTTTCAGGTTCCCCTTCAAAGAGCAAAGGCAAACATGAAGATACAAATAAACGTTTGATTTTTTTTTTCTTTTCACAATATTTTACTGTCTTCTAAAATGTGCATATTTTAATAATTTCAAGAACAATGACCTTTTTTCAACTTTGATTTCCAGTGTTCATTATTTTGATCCTTAGGTGTGTGAATAAATTTCCCTAATAGGGAAAAATATCAACTAGACTTGAGAAGAAAAATCCGTTTTCTGTTTCTTTTGTTTGCTTTTTAAGCTGGACCATCCATCCCCCCAGTAGTGGCATATCCCAAAAGAAGCCAGACTAGCACTACAGACAGTGACCTCAAAGAGGAAGGAATTCAATCAAGAAAATCTAGCAGTAGTGCTGTTGCTGGAAGAGGAATTGCACCAGCTAGCCCAATGCTTGGAAATGCCAGCAATCCAAATAAGGCTGATATTCCTGAACGTAAGAAAAGTTCGGCTGTTCCTAGTGTAAGTAGAAGCACTTACTTATCAAAACCATTAAACACTTATTTTGAAGGGGGGGAAGTGCTAAACCTGTGATTTATCAGTGGTGTTGGCTTTACTCTTCATCTGATGTAAATGTAGGTGTCTCATACTCTTCAGAGTCTTGCCTTTTTCTTCCCTCATCAGTCAGCTACACAAGTTATCTGTTAAAAGTTATCTGTTAATATTCCTGAAGTAATTAGTAGGTATTAGTAATTAGCACTAGCAGCTATTAGTGAGCAGTAATAGTTTACTTATTAAAATAAAAACAAAAACACATATATAAAAAAAAAAGAAATTTAACCAGGCTGTCTCCTGAAACTTAGTATGTATTGCGGTATTTTTGATATCCCCAATTACTCTTTTGTGGCCTTTTGTACAGAAGAATGAACTCCCTGTTTGTATTATCCTGTTTCATATGTTTAAGGAGCCAGTTCATCTTTGTTCTCAAACAGGCTGTTCCGAGTCATAGTTACATATATTGAGATTTTCAAATAGATGTCTCTCTAAAAACTTCAAAGGGTGTCTTTCAACCTTTGCTTAAAAGCACAGTGTCTGACTTTGTCCTTATGGGCTTTCCTCCATTACCAAACAACAACAAAAACCACCCTAAGATGCATAACTAATGAATTTACAGAGTCAGATAGTAGGTGGAAGGGAAAAATCTGGAAAATCCTTGTTCAGTTTGGCTTTAACTTGTGTACTTTGTGGTGCCTCTCCACACAGCAAAATTGGAAACGTGTTTTCATATAATAATGGCTTGAGTTCTGTAACATTTAGTTTCTAAAACTTTGAGATTTTGTATTGGAAGATTTCCTTCTTTTCAGAAGTAACTTCCCAGTCCTTTATTCAATTCACTATGGAGTGATTTTTTTAAGTTGTTATTCCACAAAGCTCTCTTATTTGGTCATATACTCAGCATCAATCATTAGTTACAACAAAAGGAAAACAGAACTTTGTGAGCTCGGAGATTTTTTGACAGTATGAAGTGATAGAAATGAAATAAGATTTTCTTGTTTTCCTTCGTTTTGGCTACATATTGTCAATTGGATCAGTGGCTGAAAGTGACTTGGCTGGAGGATCTCAGTCAGAGATTCCTTAGGAAGATGTGCCTTCTACTGCATCAGCTCTTTATAAATGTGAACCAGAGCTCATGATTTGGGTGGATCCTCTTCTGATTTTTCTGGTCCCCTGCCCTTCCTGGTTTTTGATCAGTCTAGAAACCGTTCAGATTGTTTCTTCTTCCATGGCAGTTCTTGGCTATCAAGTCCCAAAATTGTAGGACAGTCAAACTGGACCTCACTCAGTATTATCTGATGTCTTAGTCAAGAGCTTTGCCTCACAGTTGTGATATGTTTTACATTTAGCATCTTCAATATTTTGATCTGCTCTGTTACAGCACTCCCAAATCCTGGGGATTTATTCCAGTTGTTTTATTTCCAACTTAATACTACTGTAATGGAAGCAAAATTTGAGCTCACAGTAATAGGATACTTAGGTCTTCTGTGTGCAACTCTGATCTTGTACAAGCAGTACTACAAACTGAACAAAACTGAACATGTAACCAGACTATTGATGTCACTTGGTGGTTAAAATTGTCCCTATTTTCAGCTCTTCATGTCACTATGCAAACACCTTTTTACTTTTTTTTTCTTTCCCCCTCCTCTGTTAGGGATTAGTCTTTTCCTTTTTGGCTGTTGGGGATGGAGGGGAGCACTGATTTTTTTACACAATTTCTAAAACTGATTAGAGAGCTCTGTTTGTAATAATATTAGTATGAATCTAGAAGGAAGAAGGATGTTAGAGGTACCACATTGTCCTGATGTAGGAAACAAAAGTATTCCGAGGTGGAGAGAACAGGTGTTCTTACCAGGCGTTTATGTCCAAAAATCAGTAATATGATCAGAAAATCACTGAAGAGACAGCAAAATACCATGTTTAAAAGTAATTATTACTTTGACAGATACTGCAAAAGTAGTGGAACTGGTCTGCACTAGAGACTCGTGTTCTCTTTTGAGTTGTTAGGACCTTCAGCCAGCTGCGTGCTACTCATTTAACAACAAAGCTTACAGGCATGCACTTAAGGATAAGAATTATGCTTGTAGAGCTGATAACTAAGTCTGGTATTGGAGTTTGAGACTCCAAGATGTACTTTGGAAGTCGAAAGAGCATGTGAACTCTTGCAAACTAAATAGTTCTGCAAGCTGAACAAATGTGTGTGAGACAGCTTCAGGTTTACTTGGCAAATAACAAGTTAGTAATGAAGTCCTGCTACAGAAGAGGCATAGTTAGCAGCAACTAATAATTGCTTGTTTATCACTCTCAGCTTCAGGTTTTTCATCAGTGCTTGTAATAAGTTTGTCCCAGAACCCTTAGCGTAAAAAACTAGAGAGAAAGAATGGATGGCATGTTTGGAAAATGATTTAGGCCAAAAGCCATAGTAGTGCTCTTAAGTAAGTAGATTGATTCCTTGTTTTAAGTCAGAAGCTGACTCTGAAAATTTTTCATCAGTCCTCATCTTGCTGTCTCCTAATGTGAAAATCGCCCGTCTAAACAGTAAGCATAAAACTTACTCTAGGAAGAGAGGAGGACTTTGTACCACAAATTCATCCTTTATGCTGTGATGGGACTTTGTATATGTGCGCAGAAGCCTTAAAATGCACCTTTGCACTGTCATCACCTCCTGAAAAGAAGGCACCCAATGCCACGAGGATGAACTTAGCTCAATTCTGTCTTGTCATTCCATCAGTGTGTGTGATGCTGTTGACACCAGTTTCAGGCGTCCTGTTCTGTGCACCTGTGCGAGTTAGTCATGTCCAGAGATCAGTAATCTACAGACTGGCTGAACATAAAAAAAAATAAAATAATTAAAAAGAATGTCACAGCTGAAGAGCTGCCTAAATCAAATCATAAAAGGTCGTACACTGAAAAGTGTAAAGGCTCCTATACCAAGACTGTATTGTTGCTAAAACTGAAATTTGAAAGCTCGAAATGCTTAGATCTCCTATCACAACCTCTGAAATCTGAGCCAGACAACAAAAAGTATCCTGATACTTCTGTCTTAGAACACAGGCAAAGACTAGAAAAAGAGCTGGGTAAGTGCTCAGTTCTGCTAATCTAAAATATTCTTCATGCTCTTAGTACTTTTTAATGCCAGGAGACTGCGCAGTTCACTTTTTCATTTCTGTTTGTACATTCGTGCAAAGACATTTAAGAAGTTGTCTGTCTTTTAAATAGACAAGATGACTTCATTCCTAAATCCGCGACTCAGGAATTGTGCTACTTGAGACTCACTGACTGTATAGCCAATATTTTGCCTTAAGGCAGCAAAAGCTGTGTGTATTGAAGGCACAGGAGGAGCTTTTGCTTGTTGTTAAGAATATTCCAGTTAACAGTTTTATTTCAGGTTTGGAAACAAAAAAAGGTTTGGCTACTCTCCTGTGCTTGAACTACCTTTTCCCTTTTTTTTTATCCTTCCTTCCACAATGCTGTAATGTAACCAGTTTGTGACATGTTTTCTTAATGCTATTTTAAAAGTCCATTGAATTTTCCTTGCCTATCATAGCAGTAATTCTTCAAAGAACTCCAAAAGGTTAGTTGAGCATGAAGTCCCCTGCCTGACTCTTAGTGGCCATCCTTACTCAATATGTGCTTATCCAGGTGCTGACCAGTCGTTCCCTTAAGCTAGCCTCCAAGATGTTCCCCAGCAGTGATGTTTAAAGTTAATATCCTATTTTGCTTCCTGCTTTGCCCCGTGATCCTTTTCTTTAAGAAAATTTCTAAAGGTTTTTTCTACTTTCCAACCATATGCAGTTTATTGTGTTATGTTCTTGGGGTGGGGAAAAAATAGACGGCTTGCCAGCTTTTACTTCCTCTACAACCTGGGGGTGCATGTTTATCTGGACCACCATACTTTTCCTACAGTAATTGCATCTAACATTTTATAATTCTGTTATCTGTGAATTACCTAGCTTCTCAGTCGTTCCTGGAAAATTGACCGCCAACTTGGGCATATCTCCACCCTCTTTCTCTGTAAAGACAGAGGCAAAGTAATTCTATTTCTTTTCTCCCCTATAAAATAAGGTCTGTAGCTTAAATTCCCCTGGTTCTCTTGTCCTCAATGTCCTATGCTCGTATTTACATGTATATTTTTACAATGTCTTATTAAAATTCTCTGCAATTTGTCTCTTTTAATTTGACTTACTCTTCCCTGTTTTTCAAAACTTGTCAAGTGTTCTATAGTATTTTAATATTTAAAAGTCTGTGTTTGCTTTCCCACTGAATTTTACCATATCTGTTTCTTAAGCCTTCACTTTTGCTATCTTGTTTAAGGGTATGATCATAACTTAAAGGGAAATTCCACAATCTACAAGTGGTAAAGTATTTCAAAAATAGGCTATAAAGAAATAGACTCTCCAGATGTGGATGAATGATATACATGCTGAGAATTTGTAATTCAGAACATTGGTAATTAAAAACTTTAAGCTATACTGATTTTGAGCCATCAACATGAAATACAAGAGCAACTTGATTTTTTTTTATTGCATTATTCTTTAAAAATACTGGAAGGTGTTCGTATATTAACTAGTTACTGAGTGATTGCAAGTTTTATAACTCTGTAGAAGTAGCATGAAGTAAAACAGCCTTAAATTATATGTAGTATTAACACTAGAAAAGCCTTTTTGCAGGGAGTAACAAGCCTATGTTTTTTAATTGTAGAATAATACTGCCCCTGGAGCAATGACACGGCGCAACACATATGTTTGTAGTGAAAGAACCACTGCTGATAGGCATTCAGTGATACAAAATGGCAAGGAGAACAGGTATATGAAATGTCTTCCTATGGTGTACGTCCCTTGTCTTCACATTTCCAAAATATTGTAATGCCTAATTTAAAAATCAATAATATTCTAGAGTAATTCCTAAAGGTGAGTATAGATCTTTGGTTATGGATCACCTGTAAGTATGTTTTTTCCTATGCTTAACTCATGCAGTCTTTATACACAGAATGAAGATCCTAATGCTTGGTTAAATACATTTCGTATTTGTACAGCCATCATCTGAAGTGAGTGGTTAACTCCTGTGGTCAAACAACATAAGCTTGCAGAAGAGGTTTATTTAGTGTCAAGCTACAAAGTATATCTCTGCTGGGCCATTCTGTTTTTACATTTCACTCCAAACTTTGCTTGCAGTTGTGATTATTTGGAATTTATTTTTCCCCCTGTAAAGTCGCAAGGAAAAAGTCAATTTTCTTAAGCAAAGATGAAACAGTGATAGGCCATTATATTGAACTGATAATGTTCAGTAGTGATATTCTTGAAGTCTAAGTGCTTCCTAGTATTTACAGAACTCATATTGAGAAGGAAAACATTGATGTCTCCATGTTCTGAGTGGAAACGGAGAGGAACAATGTGTTTACTGTTACTTCTTTGAAAACCTGACTAGAGCATGTAGTGAAATTGGAGTCATCTAACTCCAGTGTTAGCACCACAGCCACCACTGGTGCCATCCTTTCCTGTGTACCAAGGACTGAGGGAAGCTGCAAAAAGTAGATATTGCAGCTCATAGACATTAGCTGTAGAGTAACGCTTGTGGAGAATACCACCGAATTTGCTGGGTGGCAGAACTGCTTTAAGTTACAGCCAACTGTTCTTCACAGAATTTTTGCTGGTGTCAAAAGCTGGTTACAATTGAGTAGTTGACTGTTGCCAGGAGAGCACTAAGATAGCTAGTACTTAACAAAAATGCTTAAGCTTGGAGGAATGTACGCCTTCTCCACTACTCCCCAGAGTTTTCCCTGCCCCTTCATAATTTTATGTTACATAATAAAGCATGGGAAGAAAATACTTTTTTTCTTCTAGCTTCTTTTGAATTTGGTGAAAGATTTGCAATTTTTTGCACATATTTTTTCCCTTTTTTTCCAAAAGCATATTAGGAAGAGTGATGAAGTTGTGATGTTGAATGGAAAGTTTGTCCCTTGTTTGACCTCTGGAGCCTAGGGTAAAGAACATGATTTTGACCCTCTCTCTTCCTCCTAGTTTTGAAGAGTGCCAAAAGTCTTAGCTGGCCAGCTGGGCCCACAGTCAACTGTCTTGTGAAGTACAGCACAGCTATTTGGTACTGTCTCTTAGTGTGTCTGTCTCAGACTTCATTGGTTAGTCCTTGTTAATGTTACCAAGTTTGTTTAGATTGAAGTTCACCATCCTTTATTTCATTTGAAATGTTAATAGCTTTTTTTCTTTCCTTTTTTCTTTTCTTTTTGTCCAGAATAGTTTTGATCAGATTTGATTACTTGATTTCTTGGTTTGTTAACAACATTTTTGTTCACCAACTAATATCTTTGCAATATCTTGACGATTTCTTTATTATATTTCTTCTAAGTTATTATTTACTAGGAATGCTTGAGAATCAGGTATGGTCTTAATTTAGGAATAACGTCATACTGCTAAGGAGTTGTCTTGTGGAGTTGTTTTTTTTCCCCAGCCTTGACTTTCTCAGCAAACTTCTGCCTCTCTAGTTTGTCATATAATGGTTTGAAGTTCAGAGTTTACATTGTGTACTTGGCAAATGTGTTCTATTCTAGTTCTATAATTGGTTATCCTTATGTAACTTACCTTTTATTGTCAATACGATAAATGGTATCAAAACATCATTTGCTCATCTTGCAAACTCTACCTCTGTTTGGATCACTTAAAATGTCTGAGCATTTACATTTTGGCTATCAGGAAAAAAAAGAAAACACAACTTTTATCCCATGTTATTGCTTACTACTTTCTTGACTCTTTATAGTGTGTTAAAGAAGATAAGTGGAGACTGTATTGCTAATTGCTTTAGAGTTGGAGACTTCTCATTGTCTGAAATGCTTCAATGTTAAACTGCATGTTCATTTCGGCACAGTTTCAGAGTTCTTGTAGAGGTTTGCAGAATTAAAGCTGAATGTATTTTGTTGCTGTAACTGGGCGAAGGCTTGACTGATCACATGAAATGCAGACCTTTAATGCAGGTTAAGCAAACATGGCTATTGATGGGACTGGCTCTTCAGAATGAATTCTGCCTTTCTTCAGGTGTGTTTTTGTAATATCAATATTTTTCTCTCAATTTGGTAAAAAGTAACTTTAGAAACTTGTAATGTTTTTTTTTTCTCTGTGAAGCAAGATCTGAAGTAGATTCTAGGCTTGTTAAAAGGTCTTGTTAAAATTACTTTCTGTGCTTTTGAAATGTCTGTTGGTAGCAAATGTTAAAGGCAAGAGTAATTACTTTAAATCGTTTGTTGCAGATTGGATTTTTGATTTTCTGTAGCTAGATGCTGACAGTGACCCAATTAAAACTTGGGAGACCTGCTTTAAAAAGGCAAGATGCACAGATTTAGTCTCCAGTCTTTCTGTAGAAAAAGTAATAAAATGTTCTGTTTTTAGTTTACACACTGAATTCAGAGAAGGTGCTGGTTTTGGAGGTATGGAAACTTTCAAGAATTGGTAGTCAGTTAGTGGAGCTGATGATCAAGAAAGCAATCTTGAAGACCCCATGCCAGACTAATAGAAAAGGGTTTTTAATTTCACATCCCATCTTCAACACATTGTGTGGCTGACACAGGTATTCTGCTGGAGATGACTCTTGGCTCTCCTCCAAAGCCTAAGCATTAATTAATGCACTTGGGGACTCATTAAATGCTCTTCATAATGATAGGCAATTGCTTTAAATCATTTGTAACACAAATGATTTACAACAGCCTCAAATTTTAATAAGCCTTAGTGTTAATTGATGAATTTAGCTTCCTGTTTCTACGATCCCAGGCTGGTAATCCAAGGAAGTTGATCTCCAGCAAAGCTTCAGAGAAGGAACTTTCATGATTTAGTATGTGCTCTGGTACCTTATTGATACCTTGAGTTACCACATCTTTGGAGGTAGATGACTAAAGGTATCTAAGGCGAGGTAAAACTTGGGTTTAATGTGTTGTAAAACTAGATTCTTTCTCCTTTGTCCTTTGCAACAGACTGGTAGGAAAGGAACTATAATTGTGAAATGCTTGAGTGGCTGGTGACCATATATTTGAGGATTACTTTGGGGTATTGCTTTTGGGATGAATGTCCATTTCCTTGGAATTTTGTAATACCTTGGTACAATGTAAAAGCTGGACTGTTTTGCAAACCTGGTTTTAGCAGTGATTGTAGCTGGCATCTTGCTGGATTCAACAGTGCAAAGAGATGCAGGCATGACTCAGATGAAGTTCTTGTGTTTTAACTTCTTCAGGATCTGCAAGAGGGAGCACATTTTGTTAACTGTTTTAGCAAGGAGTTCTGATGTCTGAATTCTGAGGTATTTTCTACTTAGCAATTTGAGAACTAGGTCCAAGAAATGGGTCAGCTGATACAGCTGGACTAGCATTCTCCTCTCCAAATTACCAGAATGCAACAACAGGACTTGAATTTCAGAGTGTGTAGCTGTGAAGTAACTTGTAAGTGAACGTGCAGTGTCATGAAATGCGCTGACAATTACTGATTTCTTAACCTCAAACAACATTTTGAAGTTATAACTGACTTACTCTTAAAGCAAACTTAAGACGTATGATATGATGTAGCCCTTTGTGTGATACCTCATGTGGCCTCTCAGGTTTCTCTCATCCCCTTTATTACTAGATAATGTGAAGGCTGCAAAGAGTGCTTTGGCGCAAAGTAAGAAAAACATTGAATGTTTCTATTTTAGCATGTTATAAGGCTGACAGATCACTGGCCAGCACTGTAGACCTTCCTTCAAATCCTGAATGTTAACTTGAGGAATTCAGGGTTCATAGCCAACCAATGAGATGCTCTTCAACAGTCGTACCTTTTCCTTCAGAGAACAAGAGCTACTCATTTCTTTATACGTGCAGGTTGATTAATAGTAGCTTTTTTGTTTGGACATCTCTGGACTTGTTAAATGTCATGATACTGTTCTTGGTTGTGCCCATGAAGTGTCTGAGCTGTTAGTTGTAGATCAAGATGTGAATACTTGTCCGACTTGCATTGATTTCTCTAAACATGGATACTTTCTGGAAACAGATTATTTCACTGCAGTAATAGAGCTATCTTTGGTCAATTTTGGAAAATGCACTCGGTGGTTTTTTTTAATGCATTTCTTTAATGTTGAGACCAATACAAATTACATTAGTAATAAAATATACTTGTGCATGAGCTCAGAGCAGTGGGTTGTTCAGGTTCTGTACACTTGCCCAGCTAAGGAGGGTGGCACTGCTAACTAATGCTATTGATACGAGAATTATCACTTCATAGATGTCAAGTGCTATGTATAGTAAGGATGCTTTCTGAGAGGAGCTTAGGGTAGTTACTGCTGTGTACATGTAAGATGGCCAGTAGAGTTCATGTTCTTTCACAAACTGGTTAATAGAAGGAAAAGTTTGCTTTTTTTTCTATGCAGTAGTTTGTTGTTGGTCCATCACGCTCTTCTTTCTGCCTCTGCCTGAACCCAAACCCCCTCACAGCCTGACAGAAATGTTCGCTTACGCAGCTAGCCCTGCTTCAGTTTGTACTACATCCTTCTCCAGTGTTCGGCTGCGACATCAGAAGTCGATGTCCATGTCAGCCTCTGTGCACACGAAGATGATGTTGCCTCCAATAGACAATGGCGCAGATAACTTCAGGCCTATGTAAGAACCTGAAATCGTTGTGAAACTAACTTATACCCACTGCTTCTTAACTTTGTGCTGTGGAATTTTAGTCCTAGAGTGTTCTAGTATATATTGCCCACAAGATGTGTGTTTCCTCATTTCTAGTCTCGTTTACATTTGTCTTGTGGTGTGTCAGGCTGTCTGTGACATAATCCTGCAATAATGAACGTTATTTTTTTTAGCGTTAGGAGTATTGGACATGCCCTATTGACAAAGTTTGTTGGGAGACTGTAATCTGTGTATTCTGAAGGACTTCACTACTTGGAACCGTTCGCATGTAGACAATTTTCTGTAGGATATTTTCAAATTAGCAAGTTTTTCAAAGATGGATAGATTGTGGAGGGAGAGGTACTAAAGTTATCCATTGCTTCTCTTTCCTGGAAGGAAACTTGGCTCATCTATTCTTTTATCAGTCTTCTCAGTGAAACACTGTATGCCTAGTTTATCTGGTCTTTTCCAGGATACTTGTGTTGCATTTTTCTGCCTATGTAGGTTTCTGTTTCGACAGCCTTTTAATCCTAACTTACGAATTTTGATTCCATACAGTGCTGTAATAGTGTTGATATTTCCAACCCTGGCCTATAAAAAAGTGTCTGCTTATGCTTTACTGTAGAACTTAGTGTTTTGTGTTTCCTGCAAATCAGCCGTGCTTCCGTAAAGAAGTTCTAGCGTTGTCTTTTTGTTTTCTGCTCTAGCACTATTCCCGATCAAAGAACTCCTGTTGCTTCAACTCACAGCATAAGCAGTGCAACCACACCTGATCGTATTCGTTTCCCCAGAGGAACGGCTAGTCGGAGCACTTTCCACGGCCAGCTCAGGGAGCGTCGCACTGCTACCTACAATGGACCCCCGGCCTCCCCCAGTCTGTCCCACGAGGCGACGCCGCTCTCTCAGACTCGAACCAGGGGTTCCACTAATCTCTTTAGCAAACTAACTTCGAAACTAACAAGAAGGTAAGTGATTTCAAGCAGTAATGCTATCCAGAAACTTCTCTTTTTGTCAGATAGTAGAAATTACCAAGTAGCTCATTAGGTTGTTTTGGCCACGTTCCCTGGTCAACAGCCTGACTATGTATCTGCAACTTAAAATGCACCTGCCTATGTGTTTGTTTTTTTTTTTTCAGTTCTTTTAAGTTACAGAAAGCCATTTGGTTTTATACCACTTGATTCAATTGCTAAAAACCGAGACAGCTTGGTCTGTGCTGATTATGCTGGGCTCATAATCCTCACGTCTGGGGTACAAATGTTGCAGAGCTGAAATACTGCAGCTCAGTTCAAAAGCTGCTCACTCTGTCTGTATAGTCTTTCAGTAGAATGTATAAACTAGGATCCCAGTCTTGATAATTAATGTGTTAGAAGCTCTGGCTGTTTCTCCCAGTCTCAGGTTATTGATGTTCCTCACAGGTAGAAATATCAGAGGTGAAAGGATGGGGGCAAGAGACAGCAATTTCTTTTGGCAGCAGTACTAGTGTAGGTCATCCTAAAGTAATGGCAGTACTACAGTTTCCATCTAGGCAGCAGTCTGGTCAGGCCTCGAAAGATTTAATTCTATTTTGACATTTAGTTCATTGCAGGTTCTGGTTTTGGTGTGAAGATGTGTTGGGCTAGCCAAGGCTTGGCTTAAGCAGCTGCTTATTCCTGACAGTTTTTATTCTAATTGGATTCTTGGTTTCACATATGTATGATTTCATTAGCTCCCACAAGCACTAAAATAGTCGGGGTGAGACCACAAGCTGGGAAAAAACACCTATTTTCCTTACATATTTATAACCTGCAGGATTCATATATCACATGCTTGAGACCACTCAGATATCCACAATTTGTGTTTGCAGAAGTTTCTTATCTTTTGTTTTAAGATAATCTCCATATTTTTATACCCTCCTCACCATGTGAAACTTTTGAAATGCATCATTCTGATCCTGGTATGCTTGCATTTATTTTAGGCTTATCATATTGGCATCAGGCCATTTCCCTCCTGTACATTCTGTGACTGTACATTACCTCCCCCCAGCATCCTCTTCCTAGTCTCCCATTTCTACAAAATAATGTTAAGCCAAACTTCCAATTTTTCACAACCGACTGATTTCAATTTAGGGAATTAATTTATTAAAAAAAAAAAAAAGGCAAGGGGAAGTTCTAGTTCTGTGAAAAAGGGCAGCCTAGCCCTTTGGTAAATGTTTTATGCTACTCAGCATTCTCAGCAAGCGCTTTTCTGGGAAATAATGCACTGTAGGAAGTTGCTTTTTTTTTTTTTTCTCTTTAGAGATAAAAGATTAAATTCATTTTTTTCCATAAAGCCTTATGCTTTTTGTCAAGTCTTAATCAAATGCATCCTTTTGGCACGTCTTTCCCTCTATACTTTTGTTTGTAATACCCTTACTTAATTTTCCATCTGACATTCCCAATGTGGACACTCAAACTGTGAACATGCAAGCTTTTTACTTGTGCTGCTGGAACACAGTATTTGTCATTCAGAGTGACGCACTCGTTTAGACAGCAGTCAAACTTCTATCATTACCTCTGATTTTCAACTTCTGCAGTGCAGTGTGGTTTGCTTTAAAAAGTTTTTCCCCCAGTACTGTAGCAATAGTTTAAATTCCATCTGGACTTGATTAAATAACATGCAATTATAACACAATAGCACTGCCACAGATGGTTAAGTTTGCATTTGGAGGACCTCTTGCAGTTGGTGCTCTGTTATAGTAGGTACAAAGAACTTGGGAAATGGACAGTCCCATCAAAGTATACACAGTTACATTTCTTATCTTAAATTAAAAAAAAATGTTATTTGATTCTAGTTTCCTCTATGGGTGATCAGAATCATTCTGCTTATTAACTACGTATGTTCTGGTGTAGGCAACAGTTACAGCTTCTCTCACTGAATTAGCTAAATATTTAAGGCAGTTTTTAGCACAACATGGATGACAGTGTTAGGAAGGAAGGAAGAAATCTAACTTTGAAAGTACTCAAGGTCCAATAATAGTTGGAGCTACTGATTTTACTTTCTATTTGAATTATGTGAGGAAAATCCAAACACGTTTTTCTGTAACTTTGCACATTTTCAGTTGTAAGGTATTTTGAAACCAGTACGTATGTTAGCATATAATAACTACTGGTGATGCATTTCCTAGAAAAAAAATAAGTTTGGAAATATTCATGCTAAAAAAAATATTCAGAGTCTTTAGACCTTAAATTATGTGCCTAATCTTAGAATGTATTGAAGTGTAATTTCAGTGTGCATTTAAATGAGGTCTTTTTGCATGCTTCACTCTAAATGGATTTTTCAATTTATTTTGTACAAAACTTTTTGTTAATTATTATTTTGGCTTAATTTCTTTTAGAAACATGTCATTCAGGTTTATCAAAAGGTAGGATTTATTTATATTTAAAAAAAGCGGCTCCTGCAATTAACAACAGATTTGGCTTTCTAGCCTTGGTTTTCTGAAAACTAAACTTTCTGCTGAGAACTAAATACTTTCTTTCTTGAGAGGAAAGCATAGAATAAATCCATTAACTCATGATGATTTCTAAGAATCTGTGGCACCTGTATAACAAGATGCTAAGCATGCCTTGTGAATTCTTCTTTCTTTGATAGAGTTGGTAGTACCAAAGTAATTCTGTTCTTCGTACTAATACACTTTAGCATGCTTATGTTTGAAAAATGAGGTGTTTGATAACAATGATGAAAATATAAACAAAACATAATGTTACGAGCAAATGAAGGTAAGTAATGCTAAACTTACGTTCTCTGTTTTATGGTATTAAAAAAAAGTCATTGTGAAGCTTTGTCTGTAGTTGATATAGTAGGAAGCAAACTGAACATGGCTGTGAATCTAACACAGCATGGCTGTGAATTGTTTTGTATGGAAGACTGAAGATCAAATAACTATTTTAAAATGGGATGCGTTTGCTGAAGTGAATTGCAGCTGAAGTGCAAGTAGAGCACTTCAGTTACAAGCAAAGTATAATGTCTATACTAATGTATTAACAAAAGGAAAAAGCTGAGAAGTGTAATTCACATTTCAATCCCAAAGGATTGAATTTAGCCTTACAATTTGGGAATGTTACGTCTTTTTAATCCATTATGAAACATTAAAGTTGGTTGCACAATTTTGATCTGCGTGTAGATTTTGCAGCAGAATCTTCATTATTTATCAGCAATATTCATTTATGTTGAATCATTCCTTGGAGCTCCTTAAAGGATGATGCTTCCAATTTCCAAATATTGATCAAAAATAGGTAATCAGTGCCCAAAAAAAGTAATTGGTTTATCTTTCAAACTGTAAGGCTTTGTGCTACTAATTTGAAATTAGTCAGACCATTTCAAGGAAATATTTAGTATTAGGGAGACCTGAGATATGTTAATAGCTGCTTAAATTTGGGTTTATTCAGTTCGTAGTCTAAAGGTACACCCCCCGACTAAACAAGAAATTTCATTTCACTTTATAATTACCAGGGCACTTCAAACATGCCAATGTTTAGAACTGATGTTGGTTGGGTTGGCTGGCACTGTCACAGCTAGCTTGAGAAAAGGAACATGCATGAACTGACAGCTAAGGGAAGGAAAGATCCAACAGAGTATAGAGATGAAACTGAGCAGAGGCAATAGTTCTAACCCATCATGCATAAAGAGCTACAGGGCACATACCACTTGGTAAAAGGGAGCTTTTGTCTCTGTAGTTGCATTCATTTTAAAACAAAGTATTGTGATCTGTGTAACCGCCACAACTGGATGCGTGTAAGTTTGTTATTCTGCTGCTCTGAAGAAAAATGAAAAATGCTAAAATGAAAAATGTTCAGATCTGAACTAGAATGCTATTCTTCAACTTTGGGATTTAAAAAATAACAGTAACCTCTAATTATTTTTTAAAAACTCTTTAGTTGGCCAGGAATTTTAGACTATAGTGGAAATACATTCAATGGAAGCTGCAGCAGCTGTCTTTTGAATAAGAGATTTGCAGAGTCTTACACCACCTACGCAGAACCAGGCTGTGCTTTTTAAATTCTGTTTTACATGTGCATTGTATCCCTCTGCACCTGATGCTGTATGTAGGTACAAAAATAAATTGAAAATGTTATTCGTTAGCAGTTTTGTCCTATTTCATGTGCTATGAATCTTACCTAAACTCACTGTCTTTAATACTGCAAGAACTACTGTAACCCACGTGTACAGTACTGCAGCATCATTCCTGAGGAGCTGGATAAAAGTAGATATCTAGTCATTCCTTTTTAAACAACGTAGTTCTACTAGTGTAGAACTGGTACACAGAGCTACTATATACATTTGTATATATACATATATGTTTGTATATATATATATTTGTATACATGTGTGTATATATACATATATAAAATCTTGTAATATGCACTGTGCTTGCCAATACGCATATTGTGGAAAGCTAACTTTTTTCTGACAGCAAAAAGTCACTTTCTGTGTTCTAGATTTTACTGCAGCATCTTTTGTCCATTTCCGTAAATTAATGTTATTTTAGTCTTGCCCTCTTTGCTGTTTTTCTATATCATTTTAGACAGTTCTCTTTTGTGTTTAGTGGGATTTTTAACAAAGAGCATACAAAGATGTAAAGAACAGAAAACACAGTATAATAAAACTCAGGACAGACATGCAGAAACATTCTTATTTTTGAAAGCCTTTCAGAAACTCTATAGCAAAAATAAAAGAGTGTTACAGGCATTGCCTGACAAATGAGGATGTAACTTTTCTATATATTTGTTCCATTCTCAAGACGAAGGAGCATCTTGGTCCGTAAAATTAATTTATGTAACAATAAAAGCAAAACCAGAAAACTTGGAATGTAATACAGCAACTTGCGGTTTCTACAGAAGTGACAACTGTGGTAGCAGTGAGGAGCCCTAAGGGCTGCATCTGAGCTGCAGACCCACCAAAACAATGCTGGCAGCACAGGAAGTTAATGTTCCCAAGGCATGAGTGCTGTGCTGTAACCATTTCCTTGGTGAAGGAAGAAGCATTTACAGAGACGGGCACCCCTCTCTGGCTGGTGTTTCGTATTTGACAGTGAGTGTCACCGCTTACAAGTTCCTGGTGCTAAATGAGTGGAACCCTGATGCACGGAAAAACTTTTAGTAAGATTTTTCAAAAAGGTTCCCATGAAGTAGTGTTATTATTTAAAGGTGGCATGATCAGGTGGAAATACTATTTCTTTAATTCAGACTACAGTGTTTCAGAACCTGAACCATTCAACCTAAAAAGGTCCGAGAACATCCTCAAAGTTTACTGGACAGGTGCTGGTAACAGTAAGGCCACTCCTCATTGGGAATTCTCGTTTTCATCCCATTTTCTACAACCTTTGGCAAGTTTAAAATCAAAATAAATTGAAGTAAAATGAGCTGCAAATGTTTGCAGCTCTTAAAGATATTGCCTACACTTTGTAGGAACACAATGTCACTTTAAAGTCCAAGTACTCTTAATTTCTCTGTCGAGCAGTCTTCTCACTTGTTAGCTTTCCCTAGTAAAAAGAGCCTCTCTTTCCAGCATCTGGAAGGTGTGCTGGATTTGTTCAGTTGGTACAAGTAATAGTTCTCTCCCTGACAACCTTCTCCTAATTCAATCTTACAAAATTGTTGTAGAAGATGAGTTCATGGATTGTGTGTGCAGACCTAATCAATCTTTTTGTACATTCTCTGGTATCCACCATAGTGGAGTATCACATGATCTTAATATCCATACCTAAATGATCATCAGTGCTATTGCTGTTTTAAACTGTTAACATGGGTTTCAGAAATCAGATAGAAGTATTGGCTGCAGTCAAGTAATAAGGAACGCTGGGAGGGCTGCAGCCTTTGAGTCGGTCATCCTGCTGTGTTACTGGGGGGAATTGGAAGATTCCCCCTTTGAGAAGGTTGAATTTTAACATTTGAATATAAAAATATGATGAAATGGCTACCAATAAAGCACATTTTGAAGTGCTAGATTTATTTGAGGACTTGCCAGCTGTTTTCTTCTCACTGTCTTCCTTATGTATCCCTTTGGCTTGTTACAGCTTTTTATTAGTCAATGGAAAACGTTTCCTAGCAGAGGAACCAGCATCTTCCCATGTGCTGTGCAGTACCTCACAGAATAGGGATGTTCTGGTGATGAACAACACGATGAGTGACCTAGCATTTTTTTAAAACCTATATTTATATTGCAGTATGGATTTTGAACTCCATATCCTGCACAGCAAGTGCTGTCACTGCATTCTGCAGTGCGCTCCTGCAGTCTGTTCCATTGCATCAAGACTGTACTCTTTCCACTCTTTTCCACTGATCTTAAAGGCCTGTTTCCTCACCACAACCCCTTAAAAGGAAGAAAATGAGGAAACCGTAACACCTCACACAACCTAATATAAATCTCATGTGCATGAAAAAATAAGCTTGCTGTCCTACATTCTTGTCCCTAGACACCTGATAGCCAAAGTGTTTTAATATATTTACTTTACTGGGTGAAGCCCTGTACTAACTTGGAGTAGCATGGATTAAGAGTTTTATGAAGATGGCTTCCCTATAAGCAAAATTAACACTGAGATGTAGAGACATGGTACTGCAATAATAGGAACGTAGAGGAAGATGATGATTTTCCCTGTAATTCTCCTTGATACTGGTATGTTAGTGATCAGCAACATAGCTTTAAGTAGTACAAAAAGAAAGCTTAGGCTTTCTTTTGGATGTAGAAGATGCATCAGCATGGGAATTAATAGCTAGCACAGCATAAGAAATCTCAGATTTACCTGCAAACATTTTATTAAAATGTATATGCATGTTCTTTTTTAAATGGTTTGGTATTGTTTGAACATCTAATACCTTGGTATTTGGTGTGTGTGCAAGCACCATCATTTTTTTTAATAAATAGCTTAATGATTAGGAGATGTTTATCGTTTAGCAGGTACTTATTAAATGATAAAGTAATTTTAATATATTGTGATTTTAGTTTAATGTTTTATACTTTTAGGTATTCAGCTTTATTTGATGAGTTCTATCACATAAAGCATACAATGTGAAAAGTAGCTAGGGTTTTTTTTAAAAACTGTAGTTAATAGGCTGTGCTTCACTTCGGCAAGATGCTCTGTTCTGAATTTGTTCTAATCTAGTAAGTTCATTACATCTTTGTTGCTTTGTATTTTAACACAACTTTGGTATGATTACGGTGTCTTTGAGCAACTATTCAGATATTGTATATTGTAGTGTAAGATTTGTCTTCTCTTTCCCACTTCCTTTTGCTTCTGCATTCTTTTCAATGAGGCTCCCGACTGAATATGAGAGGAACGGGAGATTTGAGGGCTCAAGGTGAGGGTAAAATTTTTGTTTAAAATGTTACTTAGGTGAGTTTGAACCTTTCTCCCCTTGATTATGTGGCACAGTGGCTTCAGGCAGCAGCTTTCGTTTTGTTTAAGGCTTTGAAACTAAACAAAGAAGCATTTTTGTCTGCAGAACAGCTATTAAAGCATTGACTGGCTTGTTTCTAAACTTTCATCTTCCATGTTGCCTTTTCCCTTGTGTGTTTTTGCATTTTAGTATTTATAATTTGCTGTTGTCTTGTAGATCTGTAGGTAAATGGTGTCTAGTGAGACTCCAGATGTGTGGGATAACCGCTGAAGGACATTAAAATACATTTTTCATCTCCAAAATCACAAATGGCTAAGCTATTTTTCATGTTAAACTCTTCCTCAAATCTTCATATCAAAAAATACTAGAAATCAACAGATTTGTGTTCATTCCACCAACTGTTTTCAAGTAGAAAAGGCTTTCCAAAATAAAATGAGCATTGAATAAAAGTTGGTGTTCCTCCCCCTATCCCTTTTGCCAGTTCTTGCAGCTTTATTAAATTAAAACCTTAAAACAGAATACTCTTTAATTTGCTTGCTGATGTTTGTAACATCTGGCAAACCACATAGCTGGATTTGACAGCATAATCCTATGATTCTCATAGTTACTGGAAGTCTTTCTAATAGAATGTGAAATTATGAAATGTGTTATCTTTGTGATAGATTTATTTTGTTTTGACTTTGCTATTGCTTTTTATGTAACTTTTTCATAGTTGTCTGCTTAATGCTGGGAGAAGGAAGGGATCATGTAACCAAAAATTCATTGCCAAATATTTTAAGAAAGAGCTTGACTTATTGTAAACTGAACTTTTAAGTTCAACATGAGGCCTAAACTGCATGGTTTAGGGTCAATTAGGTTGTGTGTTTTCAGAAAATATTAAAGCATCATTGTCAATATGTTAAAATCTCTTGCCCTGGGAACAAGTAAATTTGAAGAGATGACTGACAGCATGTAGACATTCCTAAAGTAAATCTGTCATTTTTTACCCTAAAGGTCCAAATGTAGCTCCTTACTCTTTAGCTGTACAACCACTGATTTTAATGAAAGTAGAAGAATCATTATGAACTAGAAATTTCTGGAACGTTTCTTTTTCATTGTCCTGAATAACCTTATTTCTCCTTACCAAGGGAAAAGCTTTAAAAAATAAAAAAATAAAAAAAAAATTAAAAAGCTTAAAAAAAAAAAAAAAAAAGGCAGACCTGGGAAATGCAGCCTCAATATTTTGTACTTTCTTAAAACCGCAGCCGTAGTAGGAAAATAGGAACCCTTTTACCTAGGTTCTTTGCTAACAATGTGAAGATGTTTTATAGTGACTTCCAACTTTCCCTCCTGCATTTCAGCCTCAAAGGTGCTTAGTTCCGTAGATCTAGCGGTGAAACACTTCATCACTTTAATACCAATAACTGATGTAGGTAAACAAATCAGTGACCAACTTAAAGACAGGCTATTTCCACCCTGTTGAAAGTAACTCCAATATCCTACAATATGGTGGGTCTTCAGTGAACTCCTCAAATCTGTGAAAGTAGTGATTTCAGAGTGAAACCCATCTAGCCCAGAGCTGGGCAGCACGCGTTGGGCCTGGGTGAGCAGGCGGGTGACCCAGCGCAGGGCCCCGAGCTCCATTTTCCTGCTGGTTGCCTCCGCTGAGGCGCGCCATGGCCCTTCCAGCCCTTGGTCCCCACCCTGCTGCCCAGGAGGAGATGCTGAGGAGCAGCTGGTCACCGTTGTGTTTGTGTGGGTGCTTCCCATGGCCCAGCGCTCCCGTGACACGGGCTGGGCGCCGTTTTGTCACAATATTTTGTCACAAGCAGCTGTTTGATGTTCCAGAAACTTCTAGCACCAAGCCAATGCTGGGTGCCCCAGGCCACATGGCCCAAGAAACAGGGCTTTGAGCAGCACCCAGCTTAAAACTGAATCATAGCTGGTGTGTGTAGTTTTACCACACTAAGGTAACCTCCCTCATGCTCCCGACTCCAGTGACTTCCAGTTGTTTCACAAGTCGAACCTTACCTTTGTTTCAGCCCCAAACGCTAACGCTTTATCTTCACTGTGTGTTTGTGTACCTGTGGGGAACACGGGGCGCTGCTCACAGCCCCTAGACACTGCTTTTGTACAAGTAGTGTGTGCTGAGTGTGAGTTCGCTTCACTAACACGCAGCTCGGGGGAAGTCTCTTGCCCTGCTGACTAAAAACTTGCTGTCTTTCAGCCGCAATGTAGCTGTGGATCAGAAGGATGAAAACAAGGAAGCCAAGCCTCGCTCGCTGCGTTTTACGTGGAGCATGAAAACCACCAGCTCCATGGATCCCAATGACATGATGAGGGAAATCCGGAAGGTCCTGGATGCCAATAATTGTGACTATGAACAAAGAGAGCGTTTCTTGCTTTTCTGTGTCCATGGAGATGGGCACGCGGAAAACCTTGTACAGTGGGAGATGGAGGTGTGTAAACTGCCAAGACTGTCCCTGAATGGAGTTCGCTTTAAGCGGATATCGGGAACATCCATAGCTTTTAAAAACATTGCTTCCAAAATTGCCAATGAGTTAAAGCTGTAACAAGAAAAATAGTTAAGTTGTAAATTAGTTAGAAAGTGTTTTTGAGAATTCCAATGGAAATGTATAGAATAACATTTAGGCAATAACTTCTGCATCCTTCTGAATAGTGATATTAAAAAAAAGCTGCTGAGCTGGGAGGGAGAGTTGGACTTTTTTATAAGTGCACTACAGCATTAAAGTTGCCTACTATGTAAAATATTACCCCTTCTGCTTTATTTCCATTGCTCCTAAGTCTTTGACAACAAATTGAAACACAGAATATATTCATTTAAATATGCCTCCTGTTTGTGTGGACGTGTGAATGTACAGTATGTGTGTATAATATATAAAGTATTATATGTAAACAATTCATTTACAACATCGAGCTGTACCAGTACCTCTTTTGGGGCTAATTTTGGTGCTAAAAATTGAAATGGCCAAGGAGGAAACACTTGAGTTAATATTTAAAATAACTGAAGAGATAACCAGTAAACGCAGGTTTACAGTTCACTGCTGTGTTAAGGAAAAAAAAAAAAAAAAAGTGTGTGAAGGGTTTGGATTTACGGTTGTGAACATTATTAGTCCTGTTTTCTAAGTAGAGCTCATGAGATTATTAAAAGTTCACTTTTACTGAGTAAGTCTTGCATTATATTTTGCCCACCTATTTATTATTTAAGTCTGAATCAAAATTTTAAAATGTAGTTGATTTGTGCATTAAAATTTGGGTAAATGCTTCCATTCTTCTGCTTCTGCTAAACTACTAAAATTGTATCTTTGTCCTTTTGGTTTATGAGTATTGATTGCAGCTAAGAGCATTTCTCCGTTGCTCCACAGTTCCTCTACCGAACAATGCAGTGCGCTAAACATTGACTAGTGACTTTTTCTTTCAGACCAAGTTCTCCACGTTAGACTAGGTCAGGCTGATACAAAGCACAAAAGGACTCTCAAACAGCAACCATGTTTTGATGCAAGTCACCACGTCCGAGTCAGTGCCGTTCTGAGGTATTGCTGCAGGTGTGGCAGTACATTGCTTTCTGGGTGTCTGCAGTATTGAAACCCAAAAGTGGGAATCTAATTTTGCTACTGATCTCCTCCGTTGTAACATCCAGCGTACTAAACTACAGCCATAGGCAGCAGCAGTTGAAACTTTTCCTTGCAGCTCTCTTCCAGCGTGCTTCCACTTGGCTCTGGTTGTATTGCTTTTGATGGCTTTATGCCAGCTGTGTCTCTAGATTCTGCTGAGGAGTCCGTTGTCACTTTTGTGACATGCAGTGTGGAAACCTACCCCGATGAACTCTGATGGCCAACTAGCTTCCTGTAGGACATGAAGCTACTATCGGATGGTCCCCGCTTCTTAACCATCACTGTGGTGAGCTGGATTTGATTTTTGCAGACTAGAATCAAGAGATTTCTTCAGGCTTTGTTTCCTAGTGATACTCAATTTCTTTCATGAAGGACTTCTGTAGATAATATCCCGCATTATCTACTTGACTTTTTGTATTGATGTTTTATGGCTATATTTCAGTGAGGCACTTAAGCATGTACTTCACATGTGCTTTAAACTGGAGCCGAAATTTGCATTTTAAATTTGCAGTGAGCTAATAGTTATTCATAGTACACAGTTCAGATTTGACACGAGGTGAAAATGCAAACCCCTTAATATTTTGCAAGTTAGTTCTTGTGACCTGTAGTCTGTGAAGGCAGCAGACTTCCCCCCTCTTTCCCTAAGCATTGATATTGATTATGCTAGTTTAAAGGGTAATCATAGTTGTTAAATGTAGTAAATATTCCTGAATTTGCATTTTATTCTCTGTATATTCTGTATCCTGCCATGGCTTTAGAACTCCAGGTGTTCAGTTGGAGTTCAGTTGGCTTTCAGTGCTCTGCCCGTGCCTGTGCTGCTCGGTATGGTTTTTGCCATGAAAACTCCATTTTGTAATAGCAATAAGACATTTCAGGGCAGTCATTGTACTTTCTCAGGTGAAGAGTCACCTATCCTTTCACTTCCTACGTTTTAAGCACTCCTCCAAATGTATTTTTTTCACCTGGCAGTGCACTTTGTTGTCTGAACTGAAAAGTATTCTGATAAATGATGTAAATCTGTATTTGATGGAAGTTCCAAAAGGTTTCATATTAAATGTTTTCTGAAATGCTCCATTCCTACTTCACCTGTTAAGTATGTAATTGTTTCTAAAAAGTGCACCAGTATCATACTTTGGATATTTGAAGTTTGTACTTAAGTATTTTTCTTAAGGTGTTTTCAAAAGGTTCTTTCAGAGTAAATCTGTATTTAAGGTATTAAAAAAAAATGACTTAATATGATCAGAAACAGTTTTCAACAGATTCCTTCCCAAATACCTTGTAAAATTACCAAGTTGCAAGAACATACCCTTGTTTCTTTGTCATACTGCACGCTTACTGTTCAAGCCTCTAGGAACTGCCCGGAAAGGAAACTGCTTCCTTCAGATCTGCAAACTTCTTCAAATCTTCAACTTCTTCCAAGAACGTAGGCCTTTTTGTTTATTCATCTGCTTTGAGGAGCAGTGTAGGTCTATCAGTGCTGCTGCTGATACAGCTTTGCAGCACTACAGCTGTTTTCTCGCTGCATAGGAGATGAGCTTTACAATTAATCAGAGGCCAGCATGTGGTAAAGATGTAGCAGTGGGTCTAGGCATTTTAAGATGCATGTCTAGTAGCCAAAAAGTGTTTTTTTTTTTGTAGTAACATGACTGGTGTCCTGGAATGTGTAGTCTGAATGTAGTGTTGGGATGAGGGGAGGGCTTATAATGGGCTTGTGAATGAAGTTTTGCATGGCTGAAACCCATGTCCTCTGATTCTGAAGATGTCTCTTGGTTAATGGGTAGAGAAAAATGTCTTCAGAGTTATGGGAGAGGCTGACTGCTTTAAATGGAAGGGTTTTTTATACATACGTATGTGGTAAAAATGAACACTGAAGAGGAATAAATAGGTTCAGATAAACTTTTCCTCATATAAATTCTATCTATACTTGGGCTTTTTAAAATGCCTTGGTTTATTTTACTTGTCATGGAATAAACATAAGACAAGGTTTAAGGTCTTGGACCATGTTGAAAAACAGGGAGAGGTGGTTCAAAGGAACAGCTAGTGCTGCTGATCTAAGTGCTTTGCACACTGCTTTTATTCAAGCTACAGCACTTGGTCCAATCTTTGTAGATTGAAAGGTTTTACTACAGATTTGGGCAAGGTTCATATTTTTTTCTCTTGCATTGTGGTGCAGTTTCGAGATGAAATACAGTAAGATACTGGATCACAGATTTTTAAATTATAATATTTTCTGTCAACATAATCTAGATTTAAAAATAAAATAAAATTCAGACCTAAAATTAAGATTCACATCTTTGTTAAAGAAATAAAGCCAGAAGTTCAGTCCTTCCAGTTGTATGGGAAGATTGCAGCAGATCTGGAGTTTGAATACAGATCTCCCCACTTCAGTTATAAGCCCAAATGTACAGGGACCTATTGGGATAATAGAGTCCTTAATCATCGTTCCCACGGCTGCTGTGTCATACAATGCATTATGTATTGCAATTTAGTTAGGACTACAGCCGACCTGGAGAACCCTTTTCTCTGTTAAAGACAGCGAGAGCAGCAGTACATGCATGGCTTTGGGTCAAGACCCACTTGCTCTGGCTGGTTTAGGTTCAAGTGCTCTCTTGATACCTGGCTGGGTATGGGCAGAGGCCACCAGCGAGCTGCCATAGTGGTCTCTGTGTTTCAAAGGTGGTTGAGGGTTTCTTGCAGTGCACTCTCTTGACCAGCTATCCAACACCAGGTCTTTTCTTAGTAACCTGAAGAGTTAAATATTTAGAGTATCTTGACAGTAGATGATATTTTCTACTATTTAGGGGGTTCTTACTGATGTAAAATTGTTCTCTAATTCACATCACAGATGTTTAGGAAGCATTTAAACAGTTTTGGAAGGCTGATCCCACTGTACATTAATATTTAAGCATGTAGATTTGCAATTTCCTGTGTTTCTGTCAGCATGATCTCTTTGTGAGTTTTCATAGAAGGGCCCTGGTGCTTTCCTATCAAGATGAGTTCACGTTATTAGAAATCACTAATACTGCCAACTGAACCCCCAACCTGAAGTTCTGATACCGTGTGGTTGTGACAATTCCGTGCTTGACCAGAAATTTTCCCTTCATAGTAAGTTGTTTCGTTGACTTCACCACTGACCATTGCTTTGAAGGCTCTGTTGCTTCAAAGAACAGCCAGCAGGAAGGTGTGTAAGTTGTGGACAAAAGCTCAAACTAATGTAATAAGAATTATTTAAAAGTTATACTGCTACATACCAAAGGCCCATCAGTGTCCAGCGGTACAGCAGCAGTAAATGTTTAAGGAGGGGAGGACAGAAGACATACAGCAGTCCTGTGCGTGCACTCCTTGCTACCACGTAAACTCACTCAAATAACTTTGGTTTTCATGTTCCTATTTCTTCTGGTCTGCCCTTAATATACCACCAGGTACTGCCTCCAAGCAAAAGGGCTAGATAAAATTAGCAAAACCAGGAAGAAATGGTCTTTTCTGAAGCTGAAACAGTCTTGCATTTGAAGCAAAAAAAAACTTGAAAGGCTCCTAACCCCTCTTTTTCAGCCTTCTAAACTTTGCTATGAACATTGGGCTTTTCATTCCAGCAATAACTGCAAACAGAAATGTGTCAATACTGACTGACGCCTGTAAGTATTTGTGTACAGAAGCTATTTTCAGGGTATTAATTGCCAGCTGTGAGTGCTCACCTGCAAGTGCCATTAACACCCTGTAGCGGATGTGACTTAGCAGGTAAGATCGTTACAGCTGGAGAAAACAAAACTACTTTTGCTTGTCTTTTTGCTTACATGTGTTGGGTGCTCAGAACTGCGTGATCAGAGACTTGGCCGTGAGATTCGTGTGAGGTGCCCGTGGTTGTGGTTGCTGTGGGAACCACGGCGCTGAAATTTTGAGGCACGGAAACACCGCCGTTCTCAGCCGCCGCTTTAACACCGGTCTGCGTTGTTTAATACCGATTATGAAATTCAGGGCATAAAAACAAAGTGTTCGTGCACTTCGTGTTTCCTTGTAGTCGCTGATGGGATCACGCTGGATGTATTAGGTGAATAAAATCAGCTCTTCGACTCTCATTACGAAAATAATTCTTTGTAAACAAAAGGGGACGCAAACTGAGAATGCAAACCTCTACCGCTGGTGTAATCCCAGGCTTTTCCACCCCCTGCTCTGCTGCTCGCCCAGGGGCCCTGCTGGGCAGCCCGAGCCCCCAGCCCCGTGCCAGGGCCGCAGGAGGGAGGCTGCAGTGCCGGCAGCGGCCGCAGGGTGCCCCTCCAGGGCCGGGGCTCGCCAGGAGCATCCCCAGGGCTGGCCGGCTCCGCAGGGCACCGGCACAGCAAAACCCCGGTCGCTTTTCTCCGCTTTCCCCAAAAGCCACCCTGCTGAGCGGGGCAGATGTAGTGCCCGGCAGCTAAACGCCTTTCCAGCTTTTGGGAGTCCTCGGTTTCCTGTTGGGAAATGTAATTAATGAAGCTGCTCTGCTCTTCATCCTTTGGTAATCACTCGCGTCGAGGCTGGAAGTTGCAGCCAGCCCTTTCTAAAATAACCCGGGATGGCTTGCCATTTATACTGCGCTGTGTTAAGTAACTCCGTAAAGCCTTACGCCTGGCATTTTCCATGCCTGGAGTCTGTTTTAATCTTCAAACAAATCTTGTCACTCGTGCTTTGAGCAAGCAAGAAATGAAACTTCCTTATTTGCTC